ACTGTGTTGATTAAAAATATCATTAAAGCCTTATGACTTACCAGGTTTTCAACTAAAGCTGCAGGTATTATACCACTTTGGTTATTTCTAGATGTTACCCACATCCACCCTTCTTTCAATTCATTATTTACTATAAATATCTCTCCCTTCTCAAAACTATAGAAATAATGTGAAACAATAATGTTAACTTGTAAATAAATAACCAAAACGAAATAATCTTTTCTTCATGTTACCCTGGTAAGATATACTAATTAACAATTATCTATTATAATTGCACAGCAAAACCATTTCATATTCTTATAAAATTTTCAAGAAATAATTCGTTGAACAAAATTTTATGTGGTTTTCGACAGATATAGATATTTCAGGACTAGATGTCTAGATGTATTATATTACCCTCTAGAATGAAATAGAGAATGTTACCTGATTTGATCTGTATCAGGCATACAGACATTATAAGATAATATAGCCATGACTCTTCTTCTATTATCATCTACGGGCTACAATATTATCAATTTTAATTAATTATCACTGAAAATTTTGGAAACTTATAAAACATCAACATGCCTTTTATCCATTCAATAATTTCTAGGACTGCCTCTTAAAATGAAAATAGAATTGAATCCCTCAATAATTGTATCATCATATAAAGATCTATACTGTTATTGGCTAAGTTTGAGAATTGACTTTTATTCTCATTCTAAGAGGTACAATTTTTTTAATTTTACAATACAGCAGAACAAATTTTATATTTCATTATCTATGTAACATCAATGATTGAAAGAAAGGAGAAATCTTTGAATTTCTTTTAGATTATTGAAAGGACCTACCTGTGGTGGGGGTATAGGATGTTTGAGTGCTTCCCCTTTGATAAGACATGAATAGGTTGTATAATAACCAATCAAATCAGATAGAGAATCAAACGTTCTACCACCAATATAATATTCACCACAAAGAGCAGTTATTCTGTAAGAAAAAATTGTCATCTAAAAGAGATATATATTTGCTTCTATATTTGATCTATCAGATAATATCTGCCCTTTTGGTATGATCTGAAAATGACAACTGGGTAAATTTTATTTTTAACGAGCAAACTTTGAAGCTATGTTTTTAAATCAAATAACAGTATTCTATTTCACATTGTAATTTTTAGAATAAAATAAACAAGCTGAAAGAGAACTCATACCTAAAATGTGTTATAGATGAATCTGTTCCTAAATATGATATAACAAATGATCCTGGTTTACTTTCACTTTCTCTTATTAAATAACTGCCCTCTTGATTACTGGTTAATAGTCGTTGTTCAGCAGTATTTCTATTTAATTTACCATGATACCACCTATAATCAAAATATATCACCCATCTTCACATTAATAATTACCGGTACCAGTTACTGTAAATTGCAATCGCATGCACTTCTCATCTCACACTCTCTGAGGATTCCCTATTTTTTGGAAAATATTTATGTAGGTGTAGTGTATTTGTCAAGCTTGCAGGTTTATTTTTTCAAGGAATCAATCAATTTAAACTTCCCTCAAAAATAAGTCTGACAATCTTTAAGTATATTCATTGCTTTATGAAACAAATCCAAGCTAATAAGCTTCAAAAAGTTGTAGAAGCTTTATCAGATAAATATATGAAAAAGAAATACCAGTATTACCAAATTTTATGTAGAAATTGAGACTAGTATTTTGTAAGATGTCAATGTTTACCACATAAATTATAATTGGCAGATATTAGAGACTGGCTACTCATTCATTCACACATTAAGCTTTTTATACCCTATGGCTACACAAAGTTCATTCACAGATTATTGTGGTCAATAGAGGTCATGTACTGGTCAATATCTATGAATGAACAACTTAATGACCTACTTTCTACATCCATTCATGTATTATTTGACATTTCCTTACTCTTTTATACCCCTTCCTTTCAAAGATACTAATAGGAAATGTATTTTTTTCACATTTGTTTTATTAATACCTTTTAAAAAGCAATTGAAAATCTCACTTTTCGGTCAAATCTGAACACATTTTTTTTAAAGAGGGTTTTAAAACAAAAATTAAATTTCACAAATCTAGTCAATAATTTCAACCTATGAAGCTGCATATTCTTCATAGGCATTTGAAGTTTAATCAATATGATATAAGCTTACTGCAATATGCTGTATGTCTATAGGCATTTCAGAATTCTTAATGAAACTTCAGATTCTTGTGATTTTATGCAGTGATTAATATGGAATTTGTCCATTTTCAACACAATAAAATATTAAAATATTTTTGGGACTTGTGGCCTTTTAGGTAAGGTATATGGTACGGTACATATAAAATAAAAGCTTTGTTCTGCATCAACTTTCAAACCTGAAATGGATCCCCAGTCCCAGACCTCAAATTATTGCTAATAATATTGTTTTGTAAACTTGTAACTAAGCTTGACTAAGCTTAGGCTTATTCCCCTGTAATTCATAGGCAAATCGACAAACTATACAATTTCAAAATGCAATTTAATAAACTGGCCTATCCTCCAGGCCTGGGATGGGCCTCTGCTGATTAAATGACAGGCAAACCTTTATTTTATATTGTTAAATAATACTGTATCACTAACTTTTAGGCCAGTGACCCAGTGTTTACATTGACTGAATCCTTTACTTTTGATACAGACATGCTCTGTATAAGTATGCATATTTGTGGTTTATGCTCTATTATAAGAGGAATGTAACTTCACGTTTACCATAGTCATAGAGCCAAGGTTCTCAAATCTAGGCGTAAATGATCGACCCTCCCCTTTAGAGCCTCGACTCTCAAACTGAATGAATCAAATTTGGAAAAAGTCCAAACTTTTCATCAACAATGCATTCTCAAAATTATCACGATGATATAACTTACAGCGCTTCCACTGGTGCCGTGAGGTCGAGTCTTTCTTCAGGAAATCCCTTTTCGTCAATTGGTGTCTCTCCCTCCTCTGTACTTTCGACATGAGAGCCTCCTTCGAAGCTAGCCTGTCGACTGGCCATGTCGGCCATATTTTCTCACATCGCAGTGTGTAATTACTGTAATCTGATTGGTTAAAAGTATGTCGGCTCATGATGAATGAAGAAAATAGGGTAAATGGTACAATTGTGCGCCTTCAGTCTAGTGGATAAGATCTTTAATGCAAATCTGCATTTGCTGCATTAGTTTTCATAATAGGGCCTAAGATCTTTCAAACTAGGGTTGAAAACACCATAATATTGTTAGTGGTCTATACTTGAGTGTTACACATGTATATTTATATACAATATTATGTAATATGATCTCAAAATCTTCTTCTATCAGCTATTTCTTTTAAAAATTGTTCTTATTAAGTAATTTCAGATTAGATGGTAGACAACTTCTACCTCTTGCTAAATTTCACCTAAAATTATTGACATTGCTGCAAATTTAAAACAGATTATCATGGATGGACTAAGCTTTATTAGATAGGCGGGTAAAAATGTGATTTCAGTATTCACTGAAAATTCTATTTCATTCATAAATAAAAAAAAAAATAACTTGTTAATAGGCATAACTATCTGGCAAATCAAGTTAAATGATTTTGTTTAGAAAAGTTTTGTCAATTTTGTTTGCAGCTGACAATACAGATAGGGTATGGATAGGCTACAGGTAAAAGTTGTAGAAGGTAGAAGGAATGGTAACACATAACCTAAATAATTGAATGCTCATTATAACATTTTAGAAATATTTGACACAAACTCAACTTTGTCTCTCTACTAACTTGGCTCTGTCTCTCCAGGAACTTGACTCTGTCTCTCCACTAACTTGAATCTGTCTTTCCCACTAACTCGACTCAGTCACTCCACTGCAGGTCTAGTCGTTCAGATGGGACAATAAACCAAGGCTGTGCACGTTAGAGATCCCTCGACAGAGCAAACTTTCCCTCATTGTATCCTGCATGGCATTGCCTGTCTTCATTAGCCCACATGGTACAGGAAAGTACGACGTAAAACTCCATTTCATTTCTACTGCTACTACTACTACTCCTACTACTGTGTACTGATGTATATTAATGAGCTATGTGTCACAATTAATCAATAATTTTGATTAGTTATTAAAGTTGAAGTAAATTTGCACATAAATGATTTTTAATTAAATGAATAAATTTGTAGGTCATATCATATGTAAAAAGTCTTCACAAGTACTAAAAATAGCATAATTCCTAAAAAAAATACCTCTATGTCTTTCTATTATATGGTGGGTCATTCTGAACACACATGGAATTGAAGGCTGGTGAGCTGTGAACACTATTACTGATTAACTTCTCTAAATATTTCCTGTGACTGAGACTATGGTGCCATTGGTCAAACAGATGGCGAACCTGTCCCTTTAACCATGTTGCTGGACCTTCAATAGTTAAAGGGGCAGTAAGCCAAATATTTATAAGATGTTGTCCACTGGCAGAGACTGAATTCTGGATTGGGAGGAATCATTGCCAAATTTTTGTCAATCCTTTCTAGGGAGGGTAAGGGGAAAATGTTTTGAACATCTAGGGCTTAAATCCTATATTTTATGCATTTTTTACAATGAAATAATGCAAAATTTGTACTCTTGAAGATTTTGTTGATTCAGCATTCTGTTTGGATAGATCGAAAGAGCAAACTTGCAACCCATGCATTTCTATTAGAGCAGTTTAGTGTCATTTGCTCAACTCTTTTTATCATGTAAACAACAACAGTAACTTAACACAAGTAGTTTTTAAATTTTTAAATCTGAATGATATTTTTAACAAATATTTTTGACTGTATCTGCATGCACTGACATTAACAACAATAATTTACAAATTTAGATTAATATATAATTATCCTAGAGAGTTTTATTTCATAATTCATCTTTAATATTATCTAATATATCATTTTTATTTTCATCTTGACTTTCATCGTCATTTTGAATATCATCACTTTCTGTATTTTCATCATCTGGACTCACATTTTCATCCTCAGTTTCTGTCTCTTTAGGAATGTCTATACAAGTGAAAGATCCTTCATTATTGACACATTCTTTCCCTTCTTCACATACACTTAAATTGTCTGATTGTTTAGTTGTAGATGTACATTCATTTATATCAGTACATGTTTCATCTATTAACTCATATCCAGTATTACATTCTTCACATCCTGTAGGACCAGCTTGATAACATCCTGATTTACACGATTGGTCACATTTCTGACAGACTACATGAGTTGTGTTCCTAGATTCTTCAAAATGATCATCAGAGCAATCATCACACAAATCTCCTTTATAACCATGATAACAACTACAGGTTCCTTTTCCTTTTCGAGTTCCATTACCATCGCAATTACCATTTCCAGAACAAGGTCTCTGAGCTCCACCAGTACAAGGTATACAGTTTGGACCATAAGTATTCTCAGGACAACATGCTTTGATTTGCTCAATACACAGCCATTTATAAATATCCAAATTGTCTTTTTTTCCAAATTCTTCAAACCAATATTTTTCAACAAGTTCTTCATGTTCCTCTAATAAATGATGACACTCTTTATCTCCTCCTTTACACAAGAATTCCATCACCTCAACTAGTCTTATTTCACTTTTTGCATATGATCCTAAAGCTTTTTCCTCCCAGTTGGTATTGCCTCCACCATAATTTGATTTGACAGTTTTATCTAAACCTGTTTTAAAATCGTCAGTAATAGTTTTACACACTGAGCACTTTGGGAATTTTTTCTTTCCTTCAACATTTGGTAATAATTCTAAAAGCATACAGAATACCACAAGCACCACTAAGGCATTAGACATTGACATCTTTGGTCTGTAATAGTTTAAAAAGTTAACCATCAACCAGAATGGAAATAAAAGTGTTTTCTTCATTTCTAAAATGATGTCGCTTTCCGGTTTCCACAAGTTACTTGAAAATATGAATGCTTTTCATAGGAATCCAGTTTCCATGAGGATTCCAGATATATAGACGTCTGGAAGCATGAATAATGAATCTTGGAGGGACTTGTGAAAGGATCTGCACTAGTAAACAAACGAAACACGACTTTCGTTTTAGCATTTCCACGTGTAATTAAATCAACCAATGGAATAACAGCATTTTGGATATGCCAAATTTAAGAAAGGAAACCACAAGTTACAACAAAGTTTGCTTCAAAACTAAAAACTTTAAAATTTGTATTTCAAGATTCTTATTATGACAGTCTTATATATTTCTTTCTTCAAAATGGCATATTTCTCTTGGTGTTCTAAACTGATATTGCGAGCGCAAATCTGAATCCTAAAATAAGATGATACCCTTCTCATAACGACCTTCACCTTCATGAAATATTTGACCCCCTAACACAGGTAGCTCTACAAGACATTGCCAACACTTCGACTGGCCTAAGACGTCTGAGTTCTGACGATAGGCCTATTCTTGTTCAAACGCAATGAAAAGTTTGTAGTAGGAGAATGTAACGATTTGTGGTTAGTATTAAGTAACCGATAAGTGGTCCGTGACTTGTGTCGATGAAAACGCAGCAATAAATGTAAGTTGCTAATGCCAATTTGTCACTCACTCAGCTGTCAGTGGCAGCGACGACGTTGTCTAGGCTAACTCTGAGATTTTAAGAACAGGCTATCATTATCATCAGTATCACTTGGCCAATAGCTATGAAGGCTATGGCCTATGTCTATAATATCAGTATCACCAACTCAGGAAGAAGTAAGATTATATATAAAAGTAATGATAAAGGTTAGGATTGTTCACAGTAGTAACGCCGGTCACTATGTTCTTATCACCATCTAACACTGGTAGGCGGTAAAACTATCTCGGATGTATATTGAATCAAGTTTTGCCATTGGCATTGTATGAAATGAAATGCCAACTACAAAATATACCTGATACTGATAGATTTGCAGTTACTGTTTATAGTAGACAGGGGTTATAGTCAACCTTTTTATCCAAATTTGAGGGGCCATTTTGTGACCGAATCTGTGGCCAATTTGATTAGGTGCCAAGTTAACTATAACCCCTGTTAATACCATCATATCTCTGTAGTATGCACTCTATAAGCTTATATGTCTTTACGCTGATATTTCTGGACACACATGGATTTGGATTCACAGTGAGCTGTGAAAACCATTACTGATTAGCTTAGTAGCTAAGAAATTCCTCCAATTGGTCCAACAGATGGCGGACTTGTCTGTTGAAGGACATCTCAGACCACTGTTTTCAGACTTGCACCAACTTAGACCAACTTTGAAATTTGGTCCAAATTGTCTCCATCATGTCATTGATCATACACATAGATTGTGTATAAAAATACACATTTTTGTCTTCCTAAGACTGTTGTTGAATATTTTGGCACAAAATGTCTATTTCAGTTGTTGTTGTCTTTGCAAATGACATTAATGAACTTGCAATGCATGTACAACTATCAAGGATCAATATGAAACAATGAATATAACTTGTCTAAAAACCATCTGTCAATATAAACAATTATTGTCTGAAAATGTTTAATTGAGAGAGTAGTGGGTGTATGAGTTATTAGAGGTAATTGAAGTCAGTACAGTAATCAAAAAATAATACACCTTCATGTTATAAAGTTTTGGATGCCAGTTTATTCAAACCAAAAGCCTATACTGGGCAAAAAAAGACAAGTAAAAATAGAATACATTCATCAATTTATTCTGAACATTAACTCTATTACAGGGTACAGCTCAATACTAGCTACATGGTACCAGTAGTGACACTTTTTCAATGAAAAATGTTCTGAAATTGATATCGACCGGAACTGATCACTTTCTGTTGCAGGGAACTGATCACTTTCTGTTGCAGGGAACTGATCACTTTCTGTTGCAGGGAACTGATCACTTTCTGTTGCAGGGAACTGATCACTTTCTGTTGCAGGGAACTGATCACTTTCTGTTGCAGGGAACTGATCACTTTCTGTTGCAGTTGCTTTTAAATTGTTTATTTGATTTTAGGCTTTCATTTACTACAGTATACATATAATACAGTACACACGGACACAACACATGTTAAGGTTTTCATTCTGAAAAATGATTTGGCCTTTGGGAAGCTGTAATAAAGAATGAACATAAAATTCTCAAGAATGATCAATATGAGTATATATTCATCAGTGAACTTACCTGGTGTCATAAAATTACAACAAAATCCCTGTAAAATCTGGAAAATTGAAAAATCTTGATACTAAGCGTTTTTCAATAGTTATTAGCATATTTATGGATAATTACTAAGTTTTTTGGATTTATTGGATTATATAAGGATCCTGTTATGTTATTTATGACACCAGGTATATCTACTGATGAATATATGCTCTTATTGGCCAAGTTTAAAATTCTTAAATTTTATGTTCATTCTAAGACATAGTATCACTTTTATAAAGTCATTAATTAGACCACTATAGCACATAAGAACCAACAAGTACTTGAAAGGAGTTATTTGCATAATTATAGTTGTATGGTACAATGTTTTATATGTTTTGCAACAATTAAAAAATCACAAAAATATATTGATTTTTATTTGTTTCAGCCTGCACGCTCTTTTGTTTTTATATAAGTATATATTTGATATAGTAGGCCTAATTATTATCAATATTGGGAAATAAGTTTGACTGTTTATTTCAAAGTGACCCTGTTCCTATCCGAACATAGAAGCAGCAGTATTGCTGAGTAATGAATATAGCTGTTTAAAATTCTGATATTGATAAGACATTACAAGGAAGATGAAGAACTCAGTGTTATTGATATTATTTGCTTTACCTGTTTATAAAACTAGGAATACATTGTTTATTTTTAGAGATTACAGTATGATATATTTTGAACCACAGACATGGTCAAACATCACTTTGATATTTGGGATCCTGGCATTGGTACTCTATTGTTTGAGTACTTTTATGATATTTCTTTCACTTGTTTACGCGTAAGTATTTCTTGAAATCATTGATGGATAAAGACATTTGTCAAGGAATATCATTGTTCAAAAATGTGCTTAATTATTATAGTTAGTACCCTTTTAAATTTGACTTGTCGCTTCCCTTGATTAATCTATACAGCTGAAATTGAGTGTATCCAATTCCATTTATATAGAATAGATTCATTGGTAAAATTTTGATGAAGGTCATGATATGTAACTAAATGAATTTTCAAATTATCCTTTGAAGTTCAAAAGTATATCTGAAGAGCCAAAATTAAAAAGATGTGAATCTATTATTGAAAAGTGGATTTTTAGGATAGTTAATAACAGGACCAAAAACATGACTTGCCTCGCAGTAAATGCTAGTCCTTGACGCTTGGACAATATCTGTCTGTAACAACAATTAAGCATATTCCATCTACAAGTCTCAAACAACTTGTTTACATCCAAAACAAATTGGCAACCCCCGTAAGTTTTGTCAGTTTATATTTAAAATTTTTATCCCAAATATTATATTTATCAATTTTTCAAGCAAAGAATCAAATTTGAAAATATTGTCAAAAACTGATTTTTTAAATTGATATTTCATATCACCAAAACGGATGTCAGATTCAATAGCTACTGTAGACTCAGTCAATTACAGAGACTTTTATGACAATATATGTGTTTTTTTTTGACAGAAAATGTAAACTGCACAAAAAATCAGCTTTCCGTCCAAACATATTGTACAATGGTAACCCAAATGGTAACCAAGGAGTGTCAGTCATTAAACCACTATTAGGTACAGATCCTTTATTACGGATTAATTTAGAAAGCCATTTTCAACTTGATTATCCAAAGGTATGTAGGCCTAAGTCTTATTATATATTTTCTTTATCATAGACATTAATAAGGTCAGTTTGTCTTGTTGGTAAGATACCTTAAGGGGCAGTAAGTAATAAATTCATTATTAAAAGCATTGTAAAATTATGCTTAATGACAAGTTCTTCCATGCCTCAATAAGTACTATGGTAATTAAATGTGGTTTGTTTACTTAAATATGGACATAAGTTTTCCAACACAAAACATAGTGAGTTATAAAGGTTTACATTGTTTTGAAACTTACCAGCAATAATTCAGATAAGTTTAGCGACATATCTCTCAGGACTTTGGTCTATAGTTTTCCATTAATTTCATTAGGCTGCCTAACTTTCTAAACTTTGTTAAAAGATTGAACTGCCCCTTATGGCTTAGTCTTCTGAACTTCACTTGACTATATACTAGTGTTGGCACGATATATCCGTGAATTGATGTATCGTGATACGACATGCCACGATATGCGTATCATATCGCAACGCCCGGTATCGATACTTGGAAATACCTTTAATTCCATAAAAAGTGCTGATTTTTATAAGTTGTTTTATCATATAACAAACAGTGGACGCTAACCACTTCTATCCACTATATTACCAAATATCACCGTTATAAAGTAAAGATAACATGTTAATTTTTATCCCATTACCCTTGTATCACGATATGTATCTTATCGTGACATGATTGACGATACCCAGCACTACTATATACCCCTTGCCTGTTGAACTATAGCTACTCTATTTTGATTTTTAGATATTCATTATTACCTACGTTTACATTTCTATTTTGACAGAACAGAATTTTCATTTTTGTTTCAGTTTGAGTTATTATTTTGTTTTCATGATGAAAATGATCCTGCTGTTACATTGGTTAATGAGTTGAGAGAATGTTATCCTCATGTATCAACAAGATTATTCTTTGGTTTGTATCTTTTTAAATTTAAGGCAGACATGTATATATATGTTATCTCTGGAAAATATGGAAAATATGACTTCCAAGATAGTAAATAGCACTTGTTGCTTTGAATTATACTCTGAAGTCATGTTTTCTACTGGATAACCCTCGTAGCTAAAATTATATTGAATTCACGACTTATGACACAATATGACGAGTTGTGATTTATCAATGTTCAACAACCAATCTGAATTCTAAATGAACATGTGTTATGTAAATTTTATCCAAATAAAGTATATTTCTCTCCAGAGCACATACTCTCCATAATAAATTTTCAAATGTACCCCTAAAAGAATCGTGGTAAATACAACTTCCTAGAAGGAAACTTCCCATAGAGGTAACAAATACAGCATGATTCAATTAGACTTTTAGCTGACAGAGACAAACTTGTGGTTTCTGATCTACTGTCAGGCAAAGTCTTAGAATTAAACATCTAATTGGTTTATGTTTTTGATTGTGATTGCTACATGTGCCATCAATGATCTGTGGAAATTATAATTGAAATTTTTGGTAACTGATATATTCAACCAGATCAGATCTTGTTAAAAACTAAAGGGAAAACCACCATTGGTGTTGAACTTAATTTTTAACTTATGTATAGCCAGTCCAATGTTGATTGTATGTGTGTATTTGATTGAATAGCTTAAAAGCTAAAAGTCATTTAGCCAACAGAAAAAATACGGAATGAATCATTTTGACCTCAATTTAATAACTTTGACCTCAATTTAATAACTTTGACCTCAATTTAATAACTTTGTAAGATTGCAATAGAGACGATAAATATCAGAAAAAACAGAAACAAAATTGTAATCTGATTGGAAGTGATTGTATTTAAGGTGGATGTGATGGTATAGTTAATCCAATGGTAAATAATATTTTACCAGCTTATAATGCAGCTAGCTATGGATATATCTGGATAAGTACCAGTAGAATTATGGCATCCACAGAAATTCTACTAGATATGGTGGAAAAATTAGCCGATCCAAAGGTTGGCTTAGTTCATCAATTGCCATTTGTAACAGATCAGCCTGGTTTAGCTGGAATGCTAGAAAAAGTATGTTTGACTTTGTCTCTTTATTTTTGATTGAGTTTGATAAAGAGTTTTTGCAAAATAAATGTTGTAGATAATTTAGTTTTCTGCATCTATTTTTGATTGTTTTTTATCTATATGCAGTAAAACAAAGATTAATATCAAGTCAATACAAAGTTGTGTATGGATTTTTTTTTATTGCTTCTGTTTTTATTTCTAAATTTCTTTAAGGAACAACAGGTTTGCCATATTGGGGGTTGATTTGGGTCTTGAATATATGTAAATTAGGCTTCAAAAGTACTAGAAATGTACAAAAAAAGCAAAATCCTTTCAAAAATTTCACTTTCTATTTCTAGTAATTTTCTACATGTCCTTTTTATAAATATTAAAACAGAAGCTAAAAAACATGTTATTCTTTATGTCATCTACGAGAATCATTTTAACTTTCAAACATGGATAATTCTGGATTTAAAGGCTCAAATTGTGACAGTGAGATATGAACACTGTTACTGATTAACTTAGATAAAAAGGTATGATTCGTAAAATGGATATCAAACCTGTCACTTTAAAATGGGTATGAAATTATATACATGTAGGCCATGGATCATTGTCCATTACAAAAGTAGAAACCAAGTTAATGATCACCCATGGAAGAATAATAAATATAATATTTCTTAGGGTAAAAATTAGGCCTGTTTTTACAATTTTAACCTTCAAACAAAGGAACACAACATATAATACAAAAGAAACTAAAAACAACAAAACAACAATCACAAAAGCAGTTAAATTATTGACAGTTATTTACATTTATCTTTTATCAGATGTTGTTTTTTGTTCCAAGCAAGAAAAGAAATAATTTATAACTAATTACCATTTTTTTTCCTTTTTGTTGTATTATGTGTTTTACTTAAAATATTTTAATGAGTAATGGCTGTGCTATGATTTTATGTGTGTTTGTTATTGTGCTTTATTTATTTGTGTTTATTATTTATATTATTTAGGTATATTTTGGCTGTGTTGTCTCAAGATATTATCTGTCTATTAATGCTTTGGGATTGCTTTGTGCCACTGGCATGTCATATACATTTAGAAAGTCCATAGTGGATGAAATCAATGGCTTGGAATATTTTGGTCAATATTTGGCTGAAGATTTCTTTTTAACATCGAAAGTTTTTCAAGCGTAAGAATTTTTTATCTATAAATGTATTGAAAATATGAATAGAAATATCTATACATGTCTTATTTAGTAATGCCTTGTCCTTACTGGCATGTTATTTTGCCACTTTGGATATTTGCTAATTTTTTTGACAATTCTTTTAGGCATTTGATTAGATTAAATACAGTCCAATATATTGTTCTTGATTATTCTTTAAAAATCTTTCAAATATCGAAATATTATCAATATAAGTGGCAAGCATACAATGAGTTCTTGTTAATATTAAATAAGATGAAAGACATCTTTTAAATTCAGAAAAGAAAAAAAAAATTGATCCAAAAATTTGCCACACTTTGGAACAGAATGGTATTGATTGTGAGAATTTTTATAAAATGACTTTTGATCAATTTAAAGAAGACGAAAAAGAATAATGAAAATACAATGATAAGTTTGAATGAACATGTGTATAAATGTTGTATAATTTCAGTGGTTATCATCTAATAGTATCAGCATATCCTGCTCAACAAAATGTTGCTAATCCGACTATTTCTAAGTTTTCTGATAGAATCATAAGGTAGGTAGACTATTGTCAACACACTATTGGGTGAAAAATATAATATTGAATATAGAGAAAAAAAAACAAATATTGAATAAAGAAAAAAAACAATCAATATTGAATAAAGAGAAAAAAGAACAAATTCTGAATAAAGAAAAAAAACAAATATTGAATAAGGAAAAAAAATTAAACGATTATATAAAGAATTAAATGCAAATATTGGATAAAGAAAAAACCAACAAATTCTGAATAAAGAAAAATTAAACGATTAGATAAAGAAAAAAAAACAAATGTTGAATAAGGAAAAAAACATATTGAATAAAGAAAAAAACACTAAATATTGAATAAAGAAAAAAAAAACAAATACTGAATAAAGGAAAAAAAACAAATATTGAATAAAGAAAAGAAAAAATATTGAATGAAGAAAAAAAACAACAAATTCTGAATGAAGAAAAATTAAATGATTAAATAAAGAAAAATTAAAGAAATATTGGATAAAGAAAAAAAAAACAAATGTTGAATAAGGAAAAAAACAAATATTGAATAAAGAAAAAAAAACAATAAATATTGAATAAAGAAAAAAACCAACAAATTTTGAATAAAGAAAAATTAGATGATTAAATAAAGAAAAATTAAACAAATATTGGATAAAGAAAAATTAAACGATTGAATAAAGAATAAAAACCAAATATTGAATAAAGAAAAAAAAAACAAATATTGAATAAAGAAAAAAAACAAATATTGAATAAAGAAAAAAAAACAATAAATATTGAATAAAGAAAAAAACCAACAAATTTTGAATAAAGAAAAATTAGATGATTAAATAAAGAAAAATTAAACAAATATTGGATAAAGAAAAATTAAACGATTAAATAAAGAATAAAAACCAAATATTGGATAAAGAAAAAAAAAACAAATATTGAATAAAGAAAAAAAACAAATATTGAATAAGAAAAAAAAACAAAAAAATTGATAATAATTAGTCCAAATCTGTTTTAAGTTAGTTAATAAATTATTTTTGTTCAAAAGTATGTTCATAAAGCCAAATGATATAACTAATACGGAAAGGTTAAGTGATTTGAAGAGAGTGTGATGACAATATACTCATACTCATTGGTGTCATTGCATACATTGAATAAAAGATTTTGGGTTTTAACATTAGAATTGGTGTATTGATTGTTGGTTATTTATATTTGTATTACAGATGGTTACGATTAAGACTTACAATGATGACCTTTACAACATTGTTAATTGAACCTGCTGTAGAATGTTTAGTATTAGGTGCCTATTCAGCATTTTTTTTACATTATTATTTTGGTTTCAACCCATATCTGTTTTTTATTGGTCATGTTACGCTTTGGATTATACGTGATTATATTCAATTATCAATAGTACAGGTGAGTTAATATTTAAATAACTCTAATTCACAAGGCTGAAATAAACAGATCTTTTTCTGTTAAAGTAAAACAAGTAAACTCAAATACATAGATTAAAGCAGGTCATTTTTTAGAAATGTATCACATGACAGACTTACCAGACTTGGTAGGGCTGAGCGCATCGTGTCCAAACTGCTCCCCCATTTGCCTTACATCCTCAAGGCCATGGTCATACAAGTCTGGGAAATTACGTATTCATAGATAAATATTATCCAATCAGAATTTGCCTTTTCTGGGGAATCTCAGCCAATCAAATCAAATCACTTGTTATGCTGCCTTGATCACGAATGTAAACAAAACGAAAATTGTGTCACTAAATATTTTGATTAATATAGGCGATACAGAATTGAATAAGATTTTCGGTAAAGTATTGAAGCTGACAGAAAATCATAACCATTCTAATTAATGAATGGAAAGAGTGTGTTCTTATCTCTTCAAACTGGTGGCGGCAAATCTATTTGTGTTTTGTCTAAATTGCAATCTGATTAGTCAGATTTGAATAGCATCAATCTCATATCCACACCAATAAACCGAATTGTAGTGAGCTTAGTTCACACGAGTCAATAAGACCATGTCAAAACCTGTATTTGGATATGATGGGCTGACGATATTGGTCCCAAGTGGATATTAAGCATTAATATATCATGACATCACGGTTTGGGGGTTTTCCTCCATGAAATTTTGAAACTTAAAGCCCAGAGACTGCATTTCTGATGATTCTGAGCTGCCCAAGTCCCATTTTAAAATGAAAGCCACTACAAATTAATCAATCACTGCTGAACTGAAGTACATTTTGAGAGAAGTCAAATTCTGGGCTGGGGCTTAATTCAGGTACCACCCTGACGACTAGGCTAACATGGATGATTTTTACCTCTTTTCCATATTTTCTTCTTATGATAATGTTACCTTCTTTTCATTACAGAATGCCAAACTGCCATTTTCCAAACTGACTTTTGTTTTAGTTTGGTTTCTAAGAGAATTTCTTCAAATTGTCATGCTCATGAAAGCAATTATGCAACCTAGAACAATTAAATGGGGAAATCGAACATATCTGGTTCATTTTGGTGGTGTGACAGAAATAAAACGAGAAAAATCATCTATGACAACATGAATCATTTAGTATATAATTAACGTATGACTGAGAAACAAATATATATTTCTCAGGTCAGGTTATGAAAATCCTTGTCAACTTTTGGATCTACATTCATAAAACAATATAAAGATTTTCACAAAAACTAGCCTGTGATGAAACTTAAAGTATCAAATACATTCTATATACATACATATCTATATTTTTAAGTCTATGAACTATTTTGATTATTCAAATTATGTTTTATTGGTGCTAGGGGCAGACTAGCATATTTTTTACCTGGTCACATCGATTTAAATCACTAGCCAATCAGGAAGAATACATGTAGCAAATGTCGGTGGAATTGATCTGTTGATTGGCGAAAAAATGGCGGATGTATCAACCTCTATCTGATAGGTTCAACAATATTGATCACTTGCACCTGTATTCCCCCTACTTATTGTATGTATAATTTGATATACTTAAATCATATTCATGTCGACAACAACAGGCTACATTTCGTTTTAAAATTGTATTCATTCACTCATTCGTTTTTTATAATCTTTTATTTTTAATATAGCCACAAAATGTTAATTGATGAATGTTTAAGAGGGCAGTCGTTAGACCTTAACTGAAGTGGCTATATTAAATATAAAAGCTAAACAAAGGTTGAGTCTAATTTTAATTAGACTGCATTAATAGTAACCTGAAGAGAAATATAAAAGTATAAGTGAAAATTATTTGATATGAGAATGAAATTGAAACATCTCTGAACAATAATCAACAGGTTTACAAATTTTCAAAATTGTAATGGTGACATAAAGATACTGTGTTAAATAGTTGAATGGGGAGGAATCAATGGGGAAGGCTCAGATCAACTGGAAATCAATTCATGGAGCACTAGATCTGTTTCAGTCAGTGTGAGCAAATTGTTCAAATCGAACATCAAAGTCTCTGATTCCTCAGGTCGACAGCTAGATACCATTTTAAATAGATAAAAGAGCACAAGCAACTCTAACAACTGTGATTTTACAGTTGTATCAGATTTTCATATTATCATCATTTAGATTGCTATTAAGGGATTGTAAGGAGGTTTTCTGAATTTTAAGAGTGTCAGGGACACTGATAGCATCGATTTGCATTGTTCCAATTGTCAGTCAGAAGTATGTGGTTCCTGCAATTGCGCTTAAACTAAGTGTTTGATGACGTCAATAATTGCAAAATATTCTTGAATCACATTTGTGACATCCCAATACTCATAAAAAAAGGAAAATCTCTTTACAATCACTTCAAAGTATTCATGTTATGCGTATGTTACGGTATGTTCATCTATGTTACTATTGTATTTTTGTGAAGTTTTGCTCATCCATGTCTTGATATTAAAAAGTGTAGAATGTAATAGATCTTGCTTTACTGTATATTTTTATAAGTATTATTGTTATCTTTTTTCTGGAGTATATATTATGGTCACTTATTTATATATTGGTATATAGTTTTATAACATATTTTTATAAATCCTTTTCATCATATTCTCAGGTAGCATATATATAATCATCATTATTCCATTCTCCACAGGAACAACTGTTTTTTTGCTCATTTTTTTGTCATTATTGTTTCTTTTTTGGATATTTATAATGTAACCAATACTTACAGTTGTGACATTAATTTACGTTTTGTATCTAAAGGAGGTTCTCTTGCCTTTGTATGTCATTTAGAGACAACTTATAACTGCCATTTATGCTGTTTATCATCAAAGTATTGTCTACTTACAATGAGAACTGAAGTTACCTTTATAGAGAGATTAATATTATTACTATTTTAAAAGAGATGTTTCGGGGCTACTGATGGAATTTACACCATTCCAATTTTCAGATATCAGTTGATCTTGCAATTCCATTTAACTAAGCATTCATGTTGTAACTATCACACAAGCAGCTAATAATATCAAAGAACATTGACAATTCTGTCATTTTAAATTTAGTTTATGGAAATTGTAAGAATCACAAACGTATCCCTAATACACATAGAAATTTAGAAACCTCTTTTACAATCCCTATAAGGTTAACATACCATTATACTGATCCAAATAAAGCGTCCTTGTTATATTTTGTATTTTTTTTTCTGTAGATATTTTACTAATTTAGGTGGAATTTTATTGACAATACATAATAAGATATTTCAATTTGAATTATATGTATTATGTGTATTAATGTAAGATCACTAAGGCTTCCATAATCAAATCACTATCAACTCATTTTATCACTATACCTATCATAGGTATAGTATTGGCACCAGGAATCTTTAGCTGAAAGGCTGTCAATAGAAAATAAAATCTGAAATCCACTAAAGGCATAATCCATCACATGTATATTATATATTGTCCAACTTGTCATAATCATGTGCTATTTGTTGCTATTGAAGTCTAAATATTGTCACTAAAAGAAAGAAGGGTACCTTAGTAGTGAATGATACAATAGACCCCTTTTACGGGAAAACCTATCATTGTACAAGATTTAAACACCTTTATAAATAGAATTATCTAGATTGTAGTCAGATCAAAATTTAAAATGTCATCACTCAGTTTCACAAAAAAATTCTTCTGATCAAATTATTTTAAGTTTATAACTAGATTGTTTTTATGTAACATATATTATGTTGTCTTGTCATCAGGTAATTAAATTTTCCAGATTATTTGTTTTTGAGAATTCCAATAACAGCTTAAATGGGAATATTTAATTCTATATTCCTATTCCACTAAAATAAATTCCTGATGAAAGGGTTGATTTGCAAACAAAACTGATAGTTAGCTCAATGATAATTTTCAAATTTGATATTAATGTGATTTACCTACAACACATATTCCTAGCTGCCAACTAACTGGTGCCTGTTCATGTCTGGAGAATTGAGAATCTTTTATTTTCTTACTATTTATGTAATGGTTGCATATTTTTGATGGAGATAAAACTATTTTATATATATTCAAATGTTTTGTTTTTACATGTATACTTTTTGTAGATATCCTAGCTTTTGTGTTTATTTCAACCAACCAAAAGGTTGGACTAATTTTAGACGGAGCTTATCTCAGACCCATGTCACTTGTTTTGGATATAAAATGAGGACAAGTTAGCATAAAAATGGGAGGTTCACTCTCCAATATAGGACTCTGGTTATATGGCAAGGGGCTCTTTGTACTGTATATTAAATATTTGACATCTATCTCAAGATGTAACAGATTGATTAATGGATTTACAAGCCAATTAGATTCATCCAAACACAATAATTGTATGAAACTGAGGAGCAAGGTGTCCACACTGTCCATTTGACAATGCTGCTTTCTCAGTAATCACACTTACCTTCATTGGCTTCATCAGGTGGAAAAGAAGAGATGTTTACAGTATTTCATTTTAATAGAGACTAAAGGTTGAAGTCAATTTTTGAATGGTTGAACACAACCTCATGTTTTGCTGCAAAAGGATCGGAATTAGGGATGTATAGTCTAGCTATGACCAGGGACTGTTAAAAACATAACCATGAGCAGTCAATTTTCTTTTTAGATAGCTTAAATAGTCCAGTCCAGTCCAGTCCAACATGAAAGTTCAGTTAAGCTAATGCTCTATATTCAACTTTATAGACACTGCTGCCAGTTGCCCAAGAAATCTGGTTTGCATTTTCAATTTCTATTTATTTTACCTCTGAAATATGAAATAGACTGATTGTTACAAATATCTCTGCCGGGTGCAGGTGATTGATTATTATGAAACTGCAAATTCTGTAAATTTGGCCTGGATTACTTAATACTTCCATCAATCAGCATCTTGGTATCTGAACAATGGAATAGCTCATTTATTAGCTTGTAAGACTGTACTAGACTATAAAGTGCACTCTTTGGCTTAAAAGTCTTCCTTTGTCATAAAGGATATATATAACATAATTTAAAATTTCCATGTAATGATCTTAAACTGTATTGGTAGACTTGAACTAGAATTGTTTGTTATAAGTACCCGCATACTAGATAAAACAACTTATTAATAAAGAAATTATTTATTCATTAATATCATCATGTAGACTTTTTCTTTTCTTTTTCTTCTTTTTCTTAGAAATCTCAGAAGTTCCAGTAATTTCAGTATCTAGAGAATCAGTTACACTATTTACATCTGAAGCAGGAATATCACTGTGCTTCCTTTTTAAGATGCTCTTTTCTTTTTTATCTTTTGATATCTCTGAAAATAGTCTTCCATCAGTGAATGAAGACTCTATGACATTAGATTTAATATCTGTATTAAGAGTATTGGTTTTGTTTTTAAGACCTTCAGATGCTGAAGAAGTAGGCTTATCTCTATCTTTTTTGTATCTTGCACCATCAATGTCTGCTCCAAAGGGAACATATCTTTGTTTCAACCCACTTGGTATCGGGTTTTCTTTTTTCAAAATATCATGATATATTGGAGAGAAAGATTGAAGTTTTTCTGATATTTGTACACATCCTTTAAAATGAGGACCAGAAACTAAATTTTCATTGTCACACAAAAGCGTTACCATATTGTTCTCTGAATCACTCCTGAAAAATTCTATTTCAAACTTGCCACCCTTTAATTCATGACGTCCTTCCATTTCAACATTCTGTTTCTTCAGTTTACAATCTTTTGGTGCCATAATTAACCAAAGTTCTTCATCTTCTTCAATATCTTCTAATGACATGAAATTAGTTGAGTTTATTTCAGTCTGTTTCATTGCAGAAAATTGTGAAGGTAATAGTTTATCAGAGTTTTTCTCTGCATTGTCACTTTTACTGGCGTTTTCATTTTCATTGCTCATACTATCTAATCGTGTATCGAAAGATGTAAGGGAAATATTGCTCTTAGGAACTGCTGATAGCGGCAGTTGAGGAGTTTTAAAAACGTGCTCTACTTTCAGTTTATTTTTTGTAGGAGATTTTATTTCGAATTCTACCTCCGAATCTGACGGCTGTTCTAGCTTCTCGGTAATAGATTTTGCTAGATCAAGTATATCTGAGTTGATTGAGTTCATCAGTAAGATTAAAATCCAATCAAGCTAATCACTAAATACTAATCAGTATCTATTTGATCCAATTGACACTAACTCATTTGATCGTTTTAGTTGTTGATGGACATGTGCTTGGTTTTTTCAATTACAAGATGATGAAACCTAGTAAACGAATAAATATTCATACCATTCATAATTTTTCTTTGACATTGTTATAAATTTTGTCATGGCATGAATCTACAAGTTACAAGTTCAAATTTTATTTTAATAGCAAAATTACGAATGCAATTTGCCTGATTTTAATTAAGAAATTGTTTCGTTTTAGGTTGAGAAAGAGTTGAGAAAATAAAGTGTACCATGGGGGGAAACTTGAAAATGGCCGCCACGACTTTTGTTTTTATTTACTTTTCTTGAACAACTCCAAATCGAATTATTGCCACATATTTTAAAAATATCAGAATGGGAGAACGTGAAATTAAAAATCAAACAGTATTCCTCATTGATCTTGAAACTCTAAATCTAACAAATGCTGCGGAAAGAAAACAAGTTCACCAATCAATTATTTTGTCCACCTTTCGAATTTTGTATTTTTTTCAATGTCAGTCTCATAAATTCAACACCGAGGATACTGGCAAGAAAGGAGACACCCTGAAATGGAGTTTCAAGTTTTTTCACTCATCAACTTACAAAGCTGTTCGAAATCAATCCACTTTACGAGAATTTAGATTGAAACATTTCAGTGAATTTGAAAATGAATGTGAGAAGATCCTATCAAAACAACAGATGAAAAGCCAATCTCCTAAAGAAAATCCCCAAAGTAAAACTTCTAAGACTTCAAGTCCAGCTGATAATTTGTCAAAGGCCCTGAAAGAGGTTATTTATGACTTCCAATGGGAAAGTCCAGAATTTTTTTCACCAATGAAAGGACGTAAAAATCATCTGAAAAAAGCAGTACCCACTTCATCCAATTCAGTGTTCGTGTTTTCAAAGATACCAAAGGATGCTCAAGACTTACGTAGCTTTTGTGGAAAGAAAGTGATAGATGATGAAGTTTTTATGGATTCATTTATGTCCTCATCATTATTTGATATGTTTCACATTTTATCTAAATTATCATTGTTTTGGATTGATACAGAACTTCATCAAACATTTAAAGTAAGTATATTCTATGACAGAATCTGGTAGGGAGGGTGTTTACTTGAAATGAAAAAGTAAAACTCTGAAGGAATGAATGACATTTTGCCACAGCTTGAAACTTGTTAACATACAAACTGTGGTGGTACAGTAATTGATATTAAAGCGGTCATAGATAAGTCAACGTTATTGCTTAGTTGCCCTATATTGATTATTATTGTACATGGGATTGTAGAGTGAAAATCTGTTAAGAGCCAGAGATCTAATTTTGCTCTGTGTTATTTATAATTCAATATTTTTGACAAGTAAGGTATCAAATAATTTTTTTTTTCAGGATAAGAATGCTCAGGAAATAGTTAGTAAAAGTTTAAAGAAAGTTGGCGGTTGTTTTATTTCTCTGAACAGTTTAGTTAAAATTCCGCTTAGCAATTTCAAATCATGTGTTCATAAACCGTTGTCAGATATCAGTACAGAAAAACATTCCCTGCAGCCAGAGGAACAGAAAAATGATAGAAATTTTGGCTGCATATTTAATGACTTTATTAATAATTTACCTATTGAAACAGTGTTACATCACAAAATAGATACAAATACAGACAATGACTGTGAAGTAGAGGCATGTTTTAATCTTGTTGATGGTAAGCAATGTTTTCTTATTTTTTACCATAATTTTAACTGGAATCTTATTTCATAAAATTACATATTCTTATTGACAAGCTTGGGGTAACTGTTGCTCACATTTTAGCACTGGTATTAAATAGTATTTGATTGGATTGAATGGATTTTAAACAGTAATTTTTTCTTTAGGTGATACTTGTCATGCAGTTCCAGTTTTATTATCTTCCTGTTTGAAAAAAAATCACACAGATAATTTGTGAGTATGAAAACATTTAAGTTTCTTAAGAGCTTTAGGATAATCTTGTCCAGAATAAGTAAACACATTGTAAAAGTAAATATTGACAGAACTAAATCAAGTTGTTAAAGTCAACTGTCAAATTTAGACAATTTAGATGAGTTTCTATGGAAATAGACAGATTTAATCAAACATGTTTCATTTTTTACTTAAAACATGGTTGCTGCTATTCCTTTCATTTAGTCACCATACTGAATGATCAGTCTATACAAGACTAAAAAGCATTTATAGCAATTTTTGTCTATTTGAAAGGGTTGCAGCAAGTGATTCTACTGAAAATCAAAGTATATCCTTTACATTGTTTTCTGATATACACAATACCAACAAGATACCAACAGGAAATGATGTAACTATTAATATCAGCTGTAAGAAGAATACTGCCAAGGATGATGACATGCCTACCCAGTTTGTCATGATAGGTTGTATAGCTCATACCAATCCTGATTATCAACATTTACCAATAGCTCAGTCTTACCTATGTCATAATGTAAAGGATTATTCTGCTGCTGGTACCCTACCTAATATATTACCTGATATGTTATCAGATTTAATGAAAGAAGATAAAAAGATGGTACGATATCATATTGAATCATATTGATAATTATTCAGATTTCTCAATTTAGCGTACAGTCCACCGTAGTTTGATCATAGTTTAGGTCTAGCTTGTTTCGTCTTCCATGTGTTCTGGTGCAAAATCCAATAAGCATTGAATATTTGCATTTTGGTTTTGAAACCTACCTAGATGTACATATAAGTATCTTTGTTGAACTTTTTCTATTATAATGTTGAAACACTGGGGTTTTTTTTGCTGCATTTAGGTTGTATTAAGTACTGGAGTTTTGCCATATTTGGGTATTTTACACCCAGTTACTGAAAATGGTTGTATGTTATTATTGTACCACATTGGATCTACTTTACAGGTATATAGTCAACAAATTTTTTTTTAAATCCCAAAAAGGATTGTTTTGATTTACTAAATTCCGTGTCCATTATTAAAAATGACATGAGGATCTGAAATCCAAAGTCATTCAAATTATAACTTTTGATGGTAATATTTGTCTGATTCAACAAATATATTAACAATTCATATCATATTTAAGATAGAGAAAGCTATGTTTTAACAGGAGTATGTCTGTTGTTTTCAGATAGAGAAAGCTATGTTTATACAGGTATATGTCTTGTTATTTTCAGATAGAGAAAGCTATGTTAAAACAGGAATATAAAGATATTGAAGAAAATGATAGTAAGACTGATCCTATACCTTGTAAATTATCATCAAATCAACTTTCTGGACTTGGTCAACAGTTTCATCTTCACTCGAGACAATCCAACCATAAACAAAAAGGTAAAAACTGAATATTGTAAAAAGCTCATTAGGTGCATTAGAGGAAGGATTAGTGTCAAGTCCTTAGTCCTTTTATACATCCATATCACTCTTCCTCTTCACATTGCCTTGTTAAGGCTCTAGAATACAGTAGCTTTGTAATGGCTTTGAATTAACAATTCTTTATGACTATTGACTAGATAATATTTACTGACAAGATAAGATTGTATTATAGGAATTGGTAAAAGAAAAGTGAAGAAATATAAACCACAAGTATTAGATAAATGGCATTTACCAGGAACATCACATGGTATGGAATCTATTGTTATGAAACTAAATGAAAGGTGAGTTATTTGGTTTTCAATTTCTGTTAAGGATATTGATGTGTATTCAAGCTATAGTTTATTTACAACTAAATCAAAGGGCACACAAATTAAATGTTTTTGTTTACATGGCAGTTTTTATAATGAAATTGTATGGCAGTTGAAAATTTATAGCTTTATTACAATGTAGAGAAAGTAAAAACATAATTTCAAAGCTTCCATCTCATTATGTTTGGTACTTTCTTTGAACAGATTAAATGATTTGGAATTCTTGGATTCAAAGGAGAAGAATACTTTAAAGAAGTTACAAAAGTTTTACAGGAAACAAAATCAACCACCAAAATTAGAGGATCTAAATCCTACAGCTCAGTTTCAACATATAGGTTTGTAACTGAAAATTCTCTAATGAAGCCTTTTCAATGCACCAGCAGCCATATTACTGTTTATATTGCGTGTAATTGCCTGTAGCAACTTTCATTTCCATTTGTTAAAAATCATATAAATATCTTGTTATCATATTTCTATGTTTAATGCAACTTTAACTATTTATAAGACTTTTTATTTTAGACTTTGAATATGTGTTTAGGCTCAAGGGGTATAGTTACCAAAATATTTACTTCAAGGGTCGATAAATCTCATTTTCAGCAATACTTACCACTTACCAATTTCAAAATTGTATCTTCGACTTTCAGAAATCATCTATTATAAGTGACACACAAAATATATTTTTTTGATTTTATGAGAACTGTACTTGGGACCTGGATATTTTTATTCTGAAGAATGATACATATAGCTGAAATTTTGCTCTGTCAGCTTTGTGAAACAAATATTTAGATGGCTAAACCCCTGTACTTCAAATCAAATCTTTAGTCTTCTTCAGAAGGAAGTCTGTATATTTTTACAATATTAAAGATAGGTTCCCTTATTTTCATTTATGAAAATGAAAATGCTAATACTTATATAAATATAAAGTAGGGGTGGTCTAAGGACTTGGAAAAATACCAGTTTGTCTGATAATTCATTAGAAACACTAATTAACCAAATAGTTTTCTTAATTTGACACTAAAAATTAAGGAAACCCATTGTTAAGATATGTAAAATATGTTATTGCAGATGAGAATGCTTTGTCAGCAGAAGATATAAAATTGAACAATACAACAACAGAAGCAGGTTATTCATTACGTCGTCAGTCATCATCTCTATCACGAACAGATATCATCATGAATCGTAGTAAACATGTACAGAAACGACAGAGTAGTGAGATAGCTGGGACTGGTGTTAAGACTAGTGAAGATATTAAATGTACTATTGATTTGAGTAATATAGGTATGTTTTTTATGAAACAAGATCTGATATCACACTCATAAGAATTTTGGTAAGGGTCCTTTCGTTTTGCCAACACTTACTCAATCACAAGCATGTGTAATAATTTTGGGTAGGGAGAAAATGCAGGTGTATAATCCTCTATCTCTTATTTCATTGCTTGTACCTTTTCTTAAACAAAACACATTTGAAGTTATTATTGAATTAAAACAACCATACAGCTTAGGGGTATGGTTTTCCATCCTTCATAGAAACCTCAAGTTAAGCCGACCTTAGAATGTATTTTTGTACCTAGTGGGGCACAGGGACAGTGTAGAAATCCTATAACTTGATGGACTCATTAATGGTTTAGCTTTAGATTTGGTACCATAGTTTGTGATATTATGGCATTTCTTTACAGATCTACAAACAGATGAAGATGTTTGTAATTATATAAAAGACCTGTACCAGAACTGTTTAGATACTATAAATAGTAACAATCTAGAAACCACAATACGAACATTAGTTACAGTTGTATTACATTATATGAAAACTAATAACAGATCTGAACCTGAGGTAAGATACTATAAATAGTAACAATACTGATGTCACACTTAGTGGCATTACTGATCTGTAGCTAAATGGGATATGGAAAGGTAGGGCTGAACTTATTTTATTTCTGTAAATAGTCCCTTGTATTACTACTGTGGGTAAAATTTGAAACATAAGATATTTATTTTGTAGGAAAGCTGTAAAAGTTTAATTAATAAAACTATAAAACAATCTAATAGTCAATTACGAGAAAAATATCAAACCAGAACTACAGACCAAGATAAAAAAGACAAAATGTCAGAGTAAGTATTTGTAATCTGAACTCTGAACATCAAGTCCCTGTTATCAAAAGGGTCAATTTTTGTAACATATTTATATAGTACTTGAGCTGTGAAAAGTGCCTGAAATATTTCAATTATTAGCCACTTTCATAACAACAAGTCACAGATTTTGCACTGAAACTCTTTGGAGAAGAGGAAATTTCCCATTTTGTGATAAAATGCAGATAAATCTTGCAACATTCCGCATAAATTTTTTCTGATTAGAGGAATGTGTGAATGCCTTTTGTATGTGAACGATGTCTATAAGCTCTATAGCCTATTAACAATGATGAATTATAGAGTTTAACTGTTAATTTGTTGATATTAAGATGATATATATGATGTGTTATGATGTTTTTCAGTTATAAATTACAGATATTGTTATTATTAGAATTAGAATCTGTTATAATGTCTGAAGATGAGGAATATATAGAACAATGTGCTGAAGAGGTAATCAGTGTTATCTTTAATTCAGCAAGTCTTTATTCTATGTCATTAATGATTTAGGATAGCGAATCCTTATTTTCAAAATCTTAATTTGATAAAATTTCGCTTTTAGCAAATAGGGTGATATGATTGGTTTATAAAACAAACTTTATGATTAATTTTAGCAATTGACCTATCAGATGAAGACAAAGTTTAAATCATTGTGAACAAGACCAGTGAAATATATAGATATACAAAAACTGTTTTCTTATAAAAGTTAAGTTTTGCTGAATGATTTGATGATATTTTCAGGCTGTAAATATGTTGAGAACAGTATCATTTATATATGATCAGTCAGTAGTACCTACATTTCTTAATGAAGTTATAGTAACAAAGTAAGTATGTTTTTAGTGATCTATGCCACCCAAAATAATTTCTGCAAAGGAATGAAACTTTAAGATTTTACAAGATAATTGTTTTTGTCAATATTGCTAGACTGAGGTTTAGCTCATCTTCGCCAGACCAAATTTTTTGACAGTTGGCCTACTGCCATTTGGATTGAAATTAGATAACAATTTTGTTTCTTTTCTTTTATATGATATTTTTTTTCCTCTCCATTGTCATCTGACAGGTTTTCTCCCTCAATCCTGTTCTAATGATGTTATTTTTGACCAACCCAGGTGTGTCACATAAGACCTATTTCTTGATAGCATTGACGAATTGTGCGTTGCAAAACCCAAAGAGGCTGTCTTTATCATAATGCTCTACTTTGGGTTTTGTAATCCTACCATTCCTCATCTATATTATGGCAGACCCTTCTGCCATTTTTTGTTTCAAAGTGAAAATTTGATTAATTTCTCTCCAGTTATTCAGCTACACTACCCAAGCTATTGATATCAATATTTGATGAGTTAATGCAACCATTACCACCGGAGTTAGCAGGTTTTGCTTCACCTAATACTAGTGCAGATACACCTTTAAATCACTCAGTCAATAGTCATCATGATAACTCAGTGTTTCAAGAACCATCTTCTAATACATCTAATCATTCTGATATACTCTTAACTCAACCATCTAGAAGGTAAGCTAATTACTAATTCATATTTAATTTGCTATAAAATCATCCCTTGCAACTCATGATTAAAAGGGAGTTATGTATACCAGCCTTATACAAATTTTTCAAAACTATTTCCTTATAACATTCAGTTCCAAGAAGAAGGTTTCATGAAGAGATCATTACTAAAATGTTAGGAAGTTAAAGGCTCTAGATGAATTGAAATGTGCCATATATCATATATATATATATATTTATATTGATGTTTATTTAGAAGTAGAAGAGTTGTTCATCATCCAAGTTTATCAAATATTGGTAGTAAAAAACAGATTATGGTAGCACTAGATAACAAACCTAAAGTACCAAAGGTATTTTTTATTTAACTAAGAGTTACGCTTACTGACTGACTGATAACATGATGATATTAAACATTTATGTTGTGTCCAGACCTGTCTTTTGGCATTGATATCTGCCCAAGAAAAATTTGTTTACTTTTGAAAGATTGTAAATGTTTATTATATAATCATTAATAAATTTGATTGTTGTAGGAGAAGAAAGAAAAGAGAAGAACAGTAGTGAGTAAACCAAGTAAATCAAAACCTAAACAAGGAGGTAATAATATTTCCTGATATAATATTAAACTAAAATATTAAAATTCAGACTGCAAATTTTGAATTTCCTAAAAAGAACAACCTTGTATTAAAGAAATATATGGAAATTGTCAGCATCATAAAATAGTCTCAAACCCTGTTATGCTCATTTTATTCTGATCATTGTCTTTTTATCTAGAAGCTGTAAAGGTGAGAAGAAATTTATTTGAAGGTGAAAAACCTAAGATAGATCGTCGCCAGTCTGTAGCTATAATGGAATCAGTTCGTAGATCTCCTAGAAAACACAAAATATCATCAACAATTAAGAACTCTTTCGGTAATATTTTATTATTAATTATTCAGATTTGTCCAATTTTTTTTTTTGACAACTTACAACCTCAAATTTCTAAAGTAATGTTATTTATTGGGATTTACACAATTTCTTACAAGTGGAGGACAAAGCTTAAACTAAGATTACTGTAGTTGAATATTCTATCAAGATGAACATCGAGTATGTATGATTTATTTCAGGTTCTCGTTCACCACACAAGAGATTAGTTTCTGAAACACCATCACATAAACAGAAAAGTAACGTAGTTTGGAGACAACAAGAAAGGAAAAGAAGAAGAACAAATTCTAAAGATGATATAAATGTTGTTGAAGAATCTCCAATAAAAGCTTGTGAAGGTAAGATACCAGTAATAATGGTGATAGAAAATATCATATATCATATTTTATTGGAGAACAATCTGGGTTTGGAGGACTCTTAAAGTCAACAGGTTTAAGCAAGCTGACTGAAGTCAAAGTACAGCCCTATGTTGTAAGTTCTGATTCATACTATTAGGTAAAATCTCAAATTTAATCAGATATATTTTGTTGTATTGGTCACTAAGAAATTGTATTCAAATTGATGATTTTATATCCAAATATGTCATCAACAGAAAAGGAATGAGTTTTCCTTGTACTTTGATATTTTCAGATCAAGGAGAATCAGTAACAGAAGTAAAAGCAAGCCCTGGAAGATTTAGAAAGAAGGCTACTGTTACCAGAAGATCATTTTATTCAGCTTCCTCCACCAGGACAAGACCTCGTAATTTATCTGCTTATTATAACTTAGGAGATAGAATAGCTGGTAGAAATCGTGGACTCTCACAAACTGAAGATAAATTAAGCCTGTCGTTGAATCAACTAGCCAAAACATCACCATGTAAAAAATTCATGTCACCTACCCGCAGATCTCGAGATCTCCTAATGTCTCAATTGATGAGTCCATCACCAAATAAAAATATTACCTCAAGACTAGCTCAATCACCAAGCCAAAGAACAAGATCTAAAACACCAAGTAGGATTCTGTTTGAGAGTCCAAGACGAAGAGTCCATTCACCATCAAAGTTATTGGGAGTATCTATTCCTGAAAGTCCTCATGGAAAAACACCTAAGAAGCAGACGTACCACCCCTTACGATCAACAACTACACCAAAATCTAAAAGTTTAGTTTGTGAAACACCAGAGAAAACAACACCTACTAAAGTGTTCAATACGCCTTTAAAACATACTCCAAAACGATCATCTGAACTAAACAACAAAGAAAACCGTGACATCAACCACGAAAACATTCATCACACACCCATATCATCCAGAAAGATTCCATCAACACCTGATGGGTCAAGAGAAACTTCCGATGCTAAAGCCATAGATCATACTCTCAAGTTAAATTCTACAGTATTACATGAGACACCTACAAAAACTCCTAAAAGTAAAAGTGTTAAGAAGGCTTTACTGAAAGACTCTCCTTTTCGTAATACCCGATCTCAAGGTCCTATCACGCCAACTAGGAATTCAGTATGTACAGCCCTGTTTACCACCAGTCCTCTTAAAACATACGTTCCACCTCAGGCTAGGCCTCAAAAAGAAGAATCAGCTGTATTTAAAACACCCAGCAAAACATTCAAATTAAAATCACCTCCTTCAACTCACAAACAAAAATTATTTAGTCCCTTGAAAAATGTATTGGAGAGGAATTCAAAAGTGGAAAATATTTCACCAGATAAACCAACTTATATAATACGAACACCATCTCCTCATGATAAAAATATAAAAACACCAGACTCTTTAGATAAATGGCCACGAGTTAAACGCCATAGAGAATCACCAGCTAGAAAAGTAAAGATCAACAAACCAAGTTTAGCTGATGTTATAGATGACAATAGTGTTTGTGATCCTATTTTAGAATCTAAAATGAAAAAGAAACGACATCTATCAGATTGTGACAGTTCTGAAACATATTTATTATCACCAAAACGACAACGTTTGGACAATGAAACTCACACTCAAACTAATGAGTTGTCATCTAAAGGTTACTTTTCAAATATTAATAACAGTGTGTTCTTACCTATCAAACAACCTGATGATAGTGGGGAAAATAATGGAGATTTTGCAAGGAAAGAATCACCAGTATTTGGTTCAAGTCCACTGCGTACCAAAATGGAATCAGGAACTTTAGGAATTACAAATTTGTTACCAAATAGTAGTCAAGAATCAACTCTATCTGATGTTCCTGTACCATTTCAATCAAAACCTGATTCTCCAGTATTCAAGGGCAAATCACCTGTATCCAAAATACAACTTGCTTTGGACACAACAAAAGGAAAAAAGTTCTCACCATCACTGTCATCTAAAAGTTTAGTCCAGTTGATGAATTCACCATTATTACAATCTGGAAAGAGAGAACATGTGACATCTCCAAGGAAAAAAGGATTGAAGTCCAGGAAATCACTTAAATTAGGCGACTAGATAGTGTTTATTTCTTGCACAACAGAACATTGCCAACTTGAACAGTCTAAGTAGATGCTGTAAAATGTCTGTGATTGTGTTATTTAGGACACTTTTAATCAAAACAGAATTTCTTTCGATATTTTTTAATCATTGTTACGGACAAAAATTTCTCCAAAAATTCTCATGCTCTATCCCCTTCATTTGGATTTGAGGTTCCAAAATAACTTAATTATTTATCCAAAGGTTAGTTAACTAAGTACGGTTTCCATCAGCATAATATAAAGCCCTATTTACAAAATATCAGAATTTGATGTTAACTCAATAAAGCAATTTGTAAAAGTAGATCCATGATTAAGAAAAAGTAGTGTACTGGTGTCGAAAAACCTATATTTATTTTTATCAAAAAGTGCTTTATTTATTGTAATTAATATTTATCATTGAATTCATTGTAGAAATAATGTCAAAAATAATAACCTTATAAATCAAATTTTAAAATAAAGTAATCATCATCTTCAAAACTTTCTTGTTATTTCATAGAATAAAGCAATTTTATTGTCAGTGCATGTTTTAGATATTATGCAGAATCCATTATGAGGACAGTTGGGAAATAGAACCTCTGAACTGATGGCTTCCCTGCCAGCAATGGAAGCAAGTGGGTTTTGCCATCTTGCAGATTTATCTTTATTCTTTTACCATTCTTTGTTATAGTAACTGCCAGGAATAAAATATTGTACTTGAAGTCTTATCAAGAGTGATTTCTGTTTCAAGATAAATATCACCTTGGGTTAACTCAGATATTACTGATTATTTCCCATGAATAATAAAGACAACTGTGATAAAATCATAGTATTGTGAATACATGTATCTTGATTACAATGATTAATCATACTATTACAATGATTAACCATACTATTACAATGATTAACCATACTATTACAATGATTAACCATATTCCATATTCAGATGTTAATTTTTTCCATTTACAAATCTTCAATGAAGATATCGTTTTATTTTTGTTCATAAATCAAAAGTCAAACTGCCAAACCGGAACTATTTTGAAGTTGATATTCCACCTGAAAAATTTCCTGAGGAAAGTACAAAGACTCAAAAAATTAAATTGATTAGTGAATAAACCAACAAAAATAGATACATGTTTACTCTTCAGTGTTAAAATTGTAAATGGTTAAAAACTTAACCAACATATTAAGGTGATCTGGCTGAATTGGCTATTGACCAAACTAAAAACATAAGTAGATTAGTAATTTTATAACCAGATTATATAGACTTGTTAATAATTTTTAACTAACCCTACCTCTATTATTTACTTCTCTTAGTAACTAAGTCTACTTGAATTTGTCACCCTCCAAACATGACTTGGAAGTAAAATCGCTTGAGATTTCTGGACAAATTTTCTAATGATTGTATGTGAATTAAATCTAACATGAGGAGTATGTGATTGAAATGTGGAGGTGATATGTTAAAATTATGTCAACAGAGAATTCACCAGATGAACATATCCCTATGGGAGCATTAAATCACCCGTCTCGACACAGAACAGGCTATGTGGAAAGACTGAAAATTCAGAAAAATCGACTAAAAAACCTTCATATTACAGAAGATACTAGTTCAGCTGTCAGTAAAATATTACCAAAGGTAATAGTTTATATTAAGTAACAATATCAAATGCTAACTTCTGTTTGAAAATTATAATTCAAGAAAAGATATTTAGTTTAGTAACAAAATTATTAACTGGTCATTGTTATTATACATGAATGTTTGAGACTGTACTCACTATCAAATTTGGACATAAAAATCTCTGCTCTTTGTGAATATTAGGTTCAAACAAAAAGATTTTGAATTGTGATAAATTTTATAAATCTACTATATTCCTACATTATACTATATGAATTTCAGGTTGAAATATAAACTACTTAAGTGAGATTGTGAATTAGTTATCAAATTTATAAATTCTGTATATCTTCTATGCTATCTGAATTTCAGTGTTAATATAACTTTACTAAAGTGAGATTATGAATTAGTTGTCTATATTTCTATGCTATCTGATTTTCAGATCAAGATAAGTGAGTTAGACTGAATACAACAGCTTAATATCTATGCTATCTGAATTTCAGATCTAGGTAGAGTAAATACTACAGCTTAATCTCTATGCTATCTGAATTTCAGATCAAGAAAAGTGAGATAAAGTAAATACTACAGCTTAATCTCTATGCTATCTGAATTTCAGATCAAGAAAAGTGAGATAAAGTAAATACTACAGCTTAATCTCTATGCTATCTGAATTTCAGATCAAGAAAAGTGAGTTAGATAGAGTAAATACTACAGCTTTATCTCGAGGTGGTACATTAGAATCTATTAAATTACCATCAGTATTATCAGCTTATACAGATAAATCATCTAAATCTATTCTTACCAGTCTTAATTCTAAATATCGAAAAAAAGATGAAGTTTTTGTAAAACCATTTAGTGTAAGTATACAGCACCAAAATTACATTTTCATCAAAATATTTGTTGAATATTGTAAAAAATCAAATCAAATATTTCTTCAAGAATTCCCACTATTGCCCTAGAAAATGGAGAAACTTGCTAGCTGAACTGAAGGTTTAGTTAGATAAGATATTACCTTCAGATTTTTCAACCAAGTTTCCTCATGTCCAAGATTCAGTTCGGAGGGTCTGTCATGGAAAAAGCAATTTGTCGTTTGGTTGGGACAATAGACAATGGACACGTGCCACAGGATGTGCACGTTAAATATCTCTCAACAGTGTGAAACCCCCAAAAAAAATAGGCTGGTGCAATTTCCCTCCTTGATGGGCCCAATCAAGTGGAAAGAATGTAAAGCTAGATTACATTTCAGTTCCAAATCAGCTTTCAATCTTCAATGGATTTTGATTAAACTAAGTATGCTGAAGTGAATCGAGTTTCAAATTGACACTATATTACTGAACAATCTGAGTTTTTCACTTGCTCATGTGGGCATAATATTTACTTTGATCTTTAATTTTGTTGTCATATTTTTATTTGTCAGTTATTTCCAGAACAAACTATGATATTATCTAAATCACTACCAAGTTTACCATCAATACCAGGCTCTCCAGGACTAGATGATTTAACTTCTGTTATAGATGATGAAATAGTGTATCAACCTACTCCAGTTTATCATGGTAAACATAAATACCAGACAATAGCTGTACGTAAACAATTAGAAAGACGTAAACAAGACCCAGATGAACTGAATTCCGTTAGAAGTGATCAACATTATATTAAAAATAAATCTCTTGCAGTGCTTCCATTAGAAAAAGACAATAGTTTTGTCAGTACACAGAGTGTTCCAATGAAAAGAAACAATGACATTGATAAAAGAACTCTACCTAGACGCTATCGTAAACGTGATAAAAACACAGATAAAACTAGACGTTTCCGTTCACTCGATGCTAGAAGTGATGCTATGAGTGTTAAAAGTGACAGTATATTAAACAGTGTACAGCCTAAATGGAAAGATGACTGTGATTGCCTACGTTGTAAGATGATTAAAAGACAGTTTAAAGATGGTGATGATAGTTATAAAGTTTGGGGACAATATCCTTGTCAACACAATGATGATATTTTATTAAATTAAATCTTTAATTTTCTCATAATTATACATTGATTAGAACAATTAAATTAAAATAATCATTAATCTTTAGAATTTCAATCTGATTAAAATGCAGGTCTAAATATTTTGTTTTTTGCCTTTTCTATTAATTACTACATAATCTGACAAAATTTCAGATTAATCAATGAATGACAAATATAGTTTACCACTATAACATCTTGATCTGCATTTTAGTCACATCATTTGTGATAATCAGATGTGATTTTTCTCCCTAAAAACACAACAAGTTACATTTATGTGCACCCTTATTTATCTGAAAAGGACATGTGTTCTATGAATATTCATATACATATTTTAACTGCTGAAATTACAGTCTGGAAAAATTAGATTTCAATTAATTTTAATTTCAATATTATATATCTTGCCTGTATAAAATTGATGTCTTTGAATGTTGAATTGCTATATAACTTTATGATAGATAGTACAGATAGCTAAAATTGATATCAATTGATAAAGCAAATTTTTGAAGACTATATCCTTTGTTTACTATCAGAGCACAATATCTAACCACTGTGATCATGAAAATGAGGACATCTCTCTTTAACATTCATCTATTTGTTGTTGTAGATCAGAAATTATTTTATTTAAGTGTGATATCTGATCTAACCATTGTTGATGACGAAATTGTTGATCTTTAACTTGACGTTTTAATCTTGTTAACTGTGCTGCATTTCTCTTCTGTAAAATATATAATTGTCTATGTTAATCTAAGCTTAAAGTGAATGTACTTTTAAATATATATATCAAGAAGTGTTCAATGAGGTAAAATATAAGTTACTTACATGTAATACATTAATATTCTGTTGTACTTTATCTATCTGTTTGTTAACTTGATCTGTCTATAATTGTTACAAATAGAATATACAATGAACATCTATACTAAAGAGGAGTAATATATCCAAAATAGTGTTTTATTTATATAATTTTCTATCTACTTCTAAATGTCATTCAAGGATTAACATCTATACTGTTGTCATTCTGCAAATTTCAGATATAGCAAAATATGAGTGCTCTAAAATACACAATATAGGTCTCAATAAACTGAAAATTCATTTTCTTGATTTTTAGCAAATCCTGATAAGTACATAGTAAATTACCTGTCTCCTTGCAAATGTGTAGTTGACAGTTACAACCAAAAGTCTTGTTACCTGAATGTCTGCATTTTCTAACTGCTTCTCTAAATCAAACTGTGTTGATTGTAATTCTTTTATTTCTTTCTTAATTTCTTCTTCTTTCTCTCCACTTATTATATATCTACTATTTTCTTCATTTCTATGAATTTCATTATCTACATAGATATATCATACAGGTTATCAATGTAAAAAACAGTATTATTTATTTACCTGTAATTACAGAATGAGAATCCAGAAATATCTCATAATTAAAAGCAACAGCTCTCTTGAGGTTGTATTTCCAACTACAAAATTGTACACATTCAGAATTAACGTGAAAGCATCATCTTGGTCACTTTTAAGTATGCAAGGAGTGTTTATGAACATCAAACAAATTGGCCACTAATATTGGTGTATAAGCATATGTTCCTAATTCTTAGACAGTTTGGGTGCTCCTAACTGAACGTCATTCTTTTAGGAGATGTTAATTGTGAAGTTGTGAATTCTTACATTTTTCTTGTAGAGCGTCTACTGTGTGTTTCTTATCTTGATATTGTTTATATAAAGGTAAACTTTCTTCATAATCTTTTACAAGTTTGGAATACTGAATCATTTTTTCTTTATTGGTCTTGTATACACTATTTATAAATTTTGCATCAATTAGTTATTACAAGCTTTTAAGAACAACTTTTTGCAAGGACATAGAAATTAGAGAAAATGAAACATTTGATTAAGAAATTAAGAAATATCAATTTTCACCTTTTCTCTTTTTCAATTTCTTTTAACTTTAAATATCTTGATTTTTCAATAGCTGAGTTGTTTATAACCATCTGTTCTATTTCTGTAATATTGAAATACTTTTATAATGTTCATACATTTTAGGCACAAATCTTATATATGTGCAAATTTCTAATGTAAAATTTCAATATTAAAACAGCCATTTCATTGACCAATCTATTAGCAATATGTTATTTTGGATTTTGGATTTTGTTTTGCAGTTTGGATCATTAGTACTTTGCTTTTTTATAGACTAAACAACGAATCTTCAAAGCAAGCATATTTGACAAGAATGTCATATTATCTTTGTTTACTGACAATGTGGATTATGTATTTACCTTCTTCTAAGACTTCACATGACTTATGTTTTTTATTAACAAGATCTTCTGTGACATAAATTTTCTTGGTCATACTGGATATATCTAATAACATTTCACTATTCTTTTTCTCCTCTAAAATTGCAAAATTACACTATTTCCTTTTTGGTACTATCATTAATACTATTTTGTTTTTTTGACCAAATATTTTGATATTTTCATATGATCATGAAAGTTGTCATCAAACGAAGAACAAATCACTTTAATATACAATCAAATGTTACCAAAAATAAACACCAGTTTGTTTTGGATAATTTTGAATTTAAAAACAAATTTTATAAGTGCTTACCCTTTTGAACTTGAGTCTATAATAAAAGAGAATAGGGAATAAAGAACAAGCAGTACCAGTTCTTGATTGGGAGACTAAGGGGAGATAATTCACTACTTTGAAAAGATGAATGCACTATTTATAAAAAAAATCAAGAGAGGTGGTGTACAGTTTAATTAACCAAATAAGAAATTTAATTACAGCCTGATGTAAATCTTGAACAATTCTTAATACCTAGTGAAAATTCAAATCTTTCAGGAAGTTTTCTTTCAGAAATAGAAATCCAAAATCTTGAAGACTAATGGGAAGTAACTCTTCCACCACAAACATCATTAAGTATTTAAATAATAGCATTACCTCCAGTTGAGCCAATACTTGCATATGTTTAGAGATTGCATTACTTTGACATTTCTGTACTAAACTAACATCAGTAACCATCTGGGGTAAACTGACAACATTCTCCAGGGCACCATCAACTATTTGACTCTCCATCGATAAACTTGATGGTATTTCCTTCACTGGTGCTGAAACAGAGATCAAGGATGTGTGGAAATGTTTGGAATCAGAGGCAGGGTATATAAAGTATTTGCTTCTGACCTACACACGTGCTTTTATGATAGTTATAATCTCATTTCACATTGATACTTAATTTTTGGTTTTAAAGGATAGTAGGCCTAATAAGAAAAAATTCTACTATATCATTTGCTGCTCTGCTCTCCAGTAGGTCAAAACTGCCTCAGCTATTCAAATACCAAAAATATTATTCAATTGACCAAGGTACCTGAACTGTCCTTCAATGTTATGTATAACCAAATGATTTCAAAGACCTAATCATATACCTAGAGAAGCTTTAACAGAAGATGTAATGGGGTGTGCCATGACAAGGGGACTAGCTGCAACAGATCTTCTGGGTGATTGTTGTGGTATTGATAATGGAGAAGACTGAACTGGTAGATTATTAAAGCTATCTGGTATCTTCAGTCTCGGTATTGGTAATTTCTTACAGTTCTTCTCTAGTAGTGGTGAAAATATAGGTGAGGTTGTTGAAACTACACCGAATTCTTTATCTAAATGAACCAATCTTCTTAACTTTGGTGGGCTGTAAATGAAATTTGAGAGTGGATGGGATTAAGTGTTGTCATAAAGGTAACACTGGAAGAAACTAAGGATGTGAATACGATTCTTTGTTCAAAAGATATGCAATGTCGTTTTGAAATTTTTTCGATTGTCGGCTACCTTGGCCTACTAGGCCTAGTAGGCTACTTCAGAACAGGAGTGGACTATGCTTCACCTCTCTCTACTTTTTGTTACGGTAAGCCATAAATTATATTATAGGATAAGTCTAGATAATAGATTTAAGTCAATGATGATCTAGATCTTGCACAGTGGTAGGCTGCGTTGTCGTTGGTAAATCGAAGACACCACGTCCACAATCAGAAGTTTTATGTAGGCCCACTGTCTAACATTTGCATTAACTTTATGTGTGGAAATGTAGGCAGTTTTAATTCAAAATAAGAAATAGCCAACCTGCATATTGCCTCATTCATAGCGAAATTTGTAGGTTAGATAAGTAGTAGGCTTATAAAAGAGAAAGATAAATTCAGGCGAAAGTTAAACTGATGAACAGGGGAGATAACTATCGCCTACATTCTTTATGTATAAGGGTGGGATGGGGCAACAAGGCTATGTGGGTTTTTCAAAAAGAATTGACAACACATTATATACTATCAATGAGAAGGATAGGAAAATCTAATCCATATCCCATACAACAAAACAAATCAAATATTTTCAAATATGTGTGAATTGCAAGAGTCAACCGTGACTTAGACGTTAGACCTCGGAAGGAAAGGTATTTATAACTCTATGGGTGGGACATAACAGCTAGGCTAATAATTGTTAGTGTAAAATGCTTATAGCCTTTTATAGCCAGTAAATCTGGTATAAGATCAAGCATCTTATGAAAATCGCCCAATGAAAATTTATAACAGCCTACCGACAAATAAAATTTAGAAGGAGGCTAGCTCTTCTACAGTAGCCTAATATATAATCTAAAGGTTCAAACTATAAATATGTTGAAAATCGATTGTTTTTGAAAAAAAATATAAAAATTAAAAAAAACAGGGATTACTTCAGAACATTATCAGAGATTATTAAAACATGATTGGACATTGAGGAAGGTACGTCATAATGCCTTTTTTATTGAACTGGTACGCAATGCTAAATGCTGCAGTTAAACTATAGGCTATCATAGATAAATTTGTTTATATGACATGCCTTCTCCACAGAACAAGGCCTATATGCTGCTATATTTTAACTTGTTGCATTCATAAAGGAAATTTGTCCAAATGCAGTAAATGAGCGAGATACGTTTAAACGGATCAATGAATAGTCACATATTTTGCCACGTAGAATTAATAACAAGCAAACTCAACGATTTGCCACATCATAACCCTCCCTTCTTCGAAAAACTTCATATACCGTTTACTAAATATCATACAGCATTCTTATACTGGATATTATACTCTATAAGTACTTTCACACGTCACAATTCTGCCAACATTTATCACGTGAACAGTTCCTGGGCGTTTCATTGGAAGATTTTTCTGATAATTTGATTTTTATGAGGGAAAGCATTGATTCTTAGAACCAAAAACATCATTCAACAACCTTTAACTCTAGAAGAAAGGTAAGTGTAACAACCTATCATTTTATGTATTTTATGTATTTTGAATATTATTATAATGCATACTAGATTGGCCTGTCTATACCTTTTTTTTCCAAATTTCTAAATGCCAAATTATGATTTTAGCAAATTCAATCTTGAGATAGAATGGAATTATTTTTGTAATGCTTTTAGCACTGTGAATTAATATGAAATTTCTATAAAGCCTAAAATAAACATGGAAATATAGACCACTTTTTTTCTCTTTGAATCTTGTGCAAATAAGTGTAATTGTATACTATTTCAACAGGTGTATGCTGCACAATGAACAGTTTTAAAGTTTGCGTAGTTTTGGGTCTAGTCGGTGTGCTGACAATTCCAGCACTCTCGGCTAAAACGAAAGTGACAGAGGCAAAGGTCAAGAAAGGGGAACCAATTTTAGATGAAAAAGACAGACAAAGAGCAAAGAAATTTCGACCAGAAGAAGAAGTAGAATATCTTGTAACAGAAGAAGTTTATTTAGATGTTGATGTTATTGATTATTATGGTGCAAATGATCACTTATCTGGTAGATTAACAATTGCTATGTTTGGTGATCTTGTACCTATGACATCTCTCAACTTTATTTCCTTGTGTAAGGGATTTAAGAAGCGAAATGTAAGTTTTTGATTAATTTTCAATAGAAAAAAAAATACCAAGAATTGTAAAGAAAAACTCTGCCACATGGAAATTATTTTCTGTTTTGGGGCCTTACAACCAATTTATTAAAATCAAAATCGATGTATATCATCAAAAATGTTTTTATTTTATTTTTATTTTTATTTTTTTTTTTTTTTGTCTTCATGGTCTTGTTAGATAATTTTCAAAATATTGTCCGGAATAAAACATAATAAGCATTATAAGTATGTTGAATAAACATACATGTTGAAGTATAGCAAAGATAAAAAATATAGTTATGTGACATGTTGAAAAGCCGGTAAAATACCGGTAAATAATATAGTAGGTTTGATATTGATTGATCTAGTGCCACGTTTAGACAGTCAATAACTTAAGAAACTTCTGTCACCACGTAAATCAATAATCACCAAATATCTTACTACTTTTATTCATCTATTCATTTCTTCTTCAATTCTTTCTTGTTCTTTTTTTACATTCATTTCCCTATCGTGTTTAATTCTTTTAATATTACTTTTTGCTTTTTAATTCTAGATTTTATATAAATATGCTGGTACTGAAATTCACAGAGTCGTCCAAGATTTTATCATTCAGGGTGGAGACGTTACACACAAAAATGGAGAGGGAGGTAGACCGAATTTTTTATATTTTTTTTTGTTTTCTTTTTTAATTATTATTCATAATTGTAAAGGCTATCCAATATATTATAAACTGGTCGTATATAACTCCTACAATCAATCTTATAACTGCCCTGTTGTAACGACGTCGTTGATTAGTCGAGAGGATGTGTCGCGCGTTTTGATTGGTTTGTTTCGTCAGATTCACAGAGCTTGACAACTTGCTTACTTTCTATTTTAGGTATGAGTTTATATGGTCCAATTTTCGACGATGAAAACTACAAAATAAGTCATTTGTCAGCTGGTATTGTATCTATGGCTAACTACGGACGTAATTCTAATGCTTCACAGTTCTTCATCTTATTACAAAAATCACGATGGTTAAATCAAAGACACGTTGCTTTCGGCAAAGTAATCAAGGGATATGTAAGTATAAATTTAAATGATTAATATTATAGAAAAGTGGTATATCACTGATAGAATAATGCGATTAATGCATTTATTTCAAAGCAATCGCTCTATAAATTGGGCACTGTAGTTGCAGCAATGGTTGCTTAAACGCATTTGTGCACCAACGATTTTAAAACTGCAAAAAAAGGTATTTGGATCGTCCTGAAAATTTTAAACTTTTGGTCAGGGAATAGTACGACGATTATTAAAAACTTGTGTTTGAATAATAATTATTTTTCTTCGTTTCAGAATCTGTTACGTAAAATTGGATCTATCAAGTCCTCACCTAAAGGCACTCTGTATTATAAGATAAAAATTGTCGACTCAGGAGTTATTGGTATCCCTGCTAAATACTTATTAAGTAAAGAACAAATGGAAAGCGAAGAGGATATAGAATAAATATTAGATATCTGTAGATAATTATAATAATTTATGCTAATTTATTCATATTTTGTACATCACAATATATATATACCCAAATAAGTGTACATTGATAAGGACTTAGTGGAGGAATAACATCAACCTCTGTGATAAATATAGTGCACCATTATTTTTTATCTATACAAGTTATTCAATAGAAATGCTAAATTCTCCGCGATCTTGATGATCAATTTATAAACCTGTTAGTTGTACTTAAACTTTTGTGTATAGTTCCTTATTTTCTTAATCTGACTAGTAAGGTAATGTCAAATCCTAATCTATTTTTTACAGAAAATCACACTGTAAATGAGAAATACAAACTGCACTTTCAAATTGTAACTATGTGTATAATATGATGACATCTCACCGCTCATGTAAAATAAAATGATGTCACAAATCCTGATATCGAAATTAAAAACGTATATCGACAGGTGTACAAAATATAATTATTTTGGCATTACCTTCAATGTACAGACTATGTCTTATTAGGAAGAGAGTATTCATCATTTGGGATTATTTGTGTGAAAGTGTATACTTATTTTTCAGTTGATATTGTCATTGTATGTATTTTATGTTTTACCATTATTAAATGTCATCAATTCCTATCAAATGCTTCTCATTCATTTAAAAAGATAAGAATATTATAGCCCTAATGCCTACTTTGTATTGCGGTAATACTAGCAGGCAACTCCTCACAGAGCACATATTTTTTTTCGCAGACACCTGATTTTGTGATTATTTCAATCTTGAATGGTCTAGGGACATTTTCTATATTGTGATGTATAATTGCACCCAGTAGCTTAATCAATAAACCACAATCTTTAAAGGAGTGGAATCGCAGACTCTATCGATGCGATACATGATAATGGAAGAGATTTTTTAACAATTTTATCGAAATTGCATTCCTAATATTCATTAAGCATAGAGGAATCTAATTCTAAAGCATAAAGACATACGACAGAAGCATAAAATGATATTTTCGAGTCGAGAGTAGCCTATCATCATCTTCACAATGTCAGGCTATTACGAACTGCGCCTAATATTGGTAGCGGTTATCTTAACATTGTAAAGATGGAGTAGCCTACCATTCAAGGAATTTCGTTCCAAACGCAGAGGTCGGTGTCAAATAACCTGAACGATCAAGTTTGTGTGAAAGTGGCACGTTAGTTTGGCTGACTGGAATTCAGCATTTTAGAAACACAAGAATCATAGGATTTCAACAGACTATTTTTCTTTCATCAAATTTACAACTTAAATTGACACAATCTGAATTATTTTCTGAAATCAAATTCTATATGACATTTCACATACCATTTTTATATGCGCAATATTTAGTTATTTAATAATATATTAAAACTAGTGACTTTTTAAGCAAAACATAGTATAGGCATTTACTGTATGATTTTTCAAACAAAAAAACCCAAAAACCTTCAGGGTTCGTGTTATAAATTCTGAATTGTTCGAAGGAATTGAATATTATAAGCGACTTTATATGCTGTGGATTTCTGGGGTAAATAATATTTCAATTACCTGATTAGATAAACAAGATTTCTGAAATATTTTTTCTGAGTGCAAAAAAAAAAAATGCTTTCAAAAACGACATTTTCAACAAAAATGTCAGAATTAAATTTACCTCGGACTAAGATATCATTTAGATTTTTATTACGGGTATAGGCGATAACTAAATCATTTGTAAAGACTGTTGGAAATTTTTCTTGCAATTCTTTGTAATGACGGATAATTATTCGGGGAACTTGACCAGCTGTGTTGTTGTATTGAATAACAAAAGGTATAATTTGGAAATCAACTTGGGTGTTCATTCCTAAAGGATGCATGGTTTGTAATTTGTTTATCCAATAATTTTCGCGAATGAGTCGAATTTTCTTTGTATCAATGCCAGGTTGTTCGTATATCTGTTCAATGGGAATAATTTTCAGGTCTGTTAATTGGTGATCGGGTTGATTGAAGTGTTTTGAAACGGTTTTATTAATTTTTTTTAAGTTGATGTCAGACTTATGATGGTTGAAACGGACCCTTAACGAATTTTTTGTCTCCCCAACGTATTGTTCGTCACATTTTGTGCAAGAAATGAGATAAATAATATTTTTGCTGTTGCAGTTGAGTCTTTCATTTGCTTGAAATATGGAATCTGTGCGTCTATTTCGGAAAGAATTTGTTGGTAAAATGAAGGGACAGGTTTGACAGCGATGGTTGTTACAAGGATAAACTGAAGAATTTGGTATTGGCAAAAGAATCGAATTATTTTTAGCAGAGATTTCAGCAACTGTTGAGCTTTTAATACCTCTCAAGAACCTTCTAGAATATCCACGTTCGCGCAATTTTTGGAAAACAATTGAACAAGCCTCCTCGAAGTCCTTCTTGCGCGTACAAATTCGGTGAAATCTCAAGATCTGCGACTTTATAATGCCAGAAAAGGTATGTTTAGGATGAAAAGATGATTTGAATAAAAGTTGGTGAGTATCAGTGGGCTTAAAAAAAACTTTAATATCTAATTGATTGGTTTCATGAAAATTGGTATAAAAAAAACTGTGGTGTCTAGAAAATCAATCTGTTTGTCGCTAATATTAGAAGTTAATTTTACAGAAGGGTGGTGGCTATTGAGAGTATCAAAATATTCCCAAAATTCATCTATTGTATGAGTCCAAATTAAGAAAATATCAAGAAATCTTACATATAAAAAATTGGTAGTTTAGGACAGAGGAGTGAAACTTCTCTTTCCCATTCTGCCAAGAAAATGTTTGCATAAGAGGGCGCAAAGCGTTTTCCCATGGCAGTTTCTGAAGCCTGAAGATAAATATTTTCATTGAAAGTAAAGTCATCACGTTTTAAACAAATTTCCAAAAGTTCAAGAATTTCTATATCTGGTCTATCAGGATCGGGCTTTCGCTCGAATGCCTGCTTTACAGCGCGTAATCCAGAATTATTGTCAATTTTAGTATACATGCTTTGAACGTCTAAAGAGACTAAAAGAGCATTTTCTGGGATCACGAGTTTCTTTACCTTTTCCACAAAGTCGTTGGTGTCTTTGATATAGGCAAGATGTTTTGAGGCAAGAGGCAGTAAAAAGTGATCAATGTATTCTGATACCCTGTACGATTCGCTTCCACAATCGGAAATAATTGGGCGACCTTTTGGGACTTTATTTGGAGAGAACCACTCAGTTTCAGGATTTTTGTGTATTTTTGGGCGGGTAAAAAGATGTCTTTGACGTGGTTCTTTTTCTGGCTTTTAATAATCAAATTGTTTTTGCTTAATGTAGTCTTTCTGAAGTAAATTGAAGAGTAACCAGTTACTATTCAATATAAGGCACTGGCACAGGGTTAAAGTTATGTTTACAATAATTGTGATGCTAATATGCCATGAACTAAATCAAAGATGATCATAACGGTTATCCTATAAATCTTCTTGGACCTAATAAAGAAATTCATAATACTTATAATCTACATTTACGGAAATAACATTATTGGGACAATTGTCTGTGGAAAATCATTAGAATCATTCAACTTCTCAAGTTTAATTACAGACTAAGGAATATTCTGTGTTCTTTCGATCTCTCAAATCGATTAACAAATACACTGTTTAATGTGTGAAATACTCTCTACCGATCACTGAAATTCTCGAATGATGAATATAATTATACTTTATTGTGAGTTAATTGGATGTACGAATAAATTTGTTATTTTGTTGCAAATTAGCTTACAGGGCACATGTAATGATGCAGCCCGGATGTTCATATCTTTCCATGGTAGCAGAGGACACCATCACTTCAAAATATTTGGAATTGCAAAGTTCTTTGAAAAAATGTCCAAAATTACTAAAATTAGTGGGAAACTGGAAAACTTCAGACCTCTGCATGTGTGAGATTCGGCATTCATTATAAAATCACATGAGCTAAATGGGTTGTTTAACCAATGTCTAATAAGGAAAACTTTCCTTTGTAGCAATGGAACTGAAATAGGTCAGTGTCTACCAAGTAGGTTGTAATAGTCACAATTTGGATCATGCTAAAGCTCCTTAATGTATGCAGCAGAGACTGTAAGTGTTAAAATGTTGCATTAAAGCTCAAGTAATTAATCCTCAATTTGCTGAGCCAATAGAATAAATGGAAAGACAAAAAGGTTAACATTATTACTTTTTATTTTTATCGAGACAACACAGTTACATGACAACATCGACAATTTACATATAAACAAACACATAAATAAATAATGAATAAATAAGAGTAAATAAGAAAGCTATTGGTAAACAATAGACAATCTAATTAAGTTAAGTTCATTTGGCCGCGGTATTCACTTTATAATAAGATTTGAATATAAATATAAACCATGACCCAAGTGAAGATACTTGTAATAAGCGCTTTTAGCTGTAGATTAATTAAGATATTATGATATTATCAAATTTAACAGTATAAAATTGGAGCAGTGTGCTGTTATATGTATATATATAAGTTTGAATGAGCCATGGTTTTCAATTCAATTCAATTCAAAAACATAATAATAGGCTATACATGAAAAAAAATTACATAAATTTACAAAATGAGTGACGATGACAACACACAATATTACACGAACGATTATAATTATTATTTTTTATTAATTAATTTAATGTTGTTTACTTTCTATATCATCAGTATGCATTTGTTTTCGTGTTAAATCGTATTTCTCTACTTCATCTAATGAACAATCAGTAATTTTAATTGGTCGTTTTGGTGTAAGACCATCTTTTTGTGAACCAAGATCGTTAAGAGCTTCTAATACATCCTGTAAAAGAACAGATGAAAACTTACTTAATAATGATACCAATAATTATGCATTCATGAATAATTAGTAAAAAAAATGAATGAATAGATGTATAAATACATTATATACAAATTGTACAGTATCAGTTCTATGTGCTTTTGCTGTGGGATTCTGTTTAATAAATACATCTTATTTGAATAATTTAAAAGATAATGTATTGAGTCGATGTATTTAGAGTTCGTAGCACATATATTATATAGAGTCCATTATATTGTTATAGTGCATATATAGAGTCCAGATAAAGAGTACACCGAGTCAATGGACAGATTGAAATATTGAAATACTTACGTATCCTTTGACGATCTTTCCGAAAGCGACGTGTTTATTGTCAAGATATCTAGCTCTGGTGAATAAGATGAAGAATTGTGATCCGTTGGTGTCTTGTCCATGATTAGCCATTGAGATAATACCGGCACTGCTGTGGCTGATGACGAAGTTTTCGTCGTTGAATTTATCACCGAAGATTGATTTGCCTAAAAAATACAGATATTGTAATTATAATGAATACATTAACATAAATTATCCAAAAGATAATATATTTCTTTAAAATATGTTATTATTAAATATATTCTTTACATGGAAGACTTATATATTTAGAAAATTTTTGCCTCTAAAATCTATTATGAAACTTCACTGTGTGTGTAAAGTCCCCATCTCAAAAAGAAAACAAGAAATGGTATGCTTATACTTACTTCCAGTTCCATCACCAATAGTGACGTCACCACATTGGACTAACATATCTTTAACAATTCGATGGCAGTAGGTGTTTTTGTAGTGAAGTTTAGGCTGAAATGATTAATTTATCAATGATTAAGAACATACTTCAAAAGTTCATAATGTCGGGCTTTCAGCATGATGTTATTGTGTTCAATACCTAATGCATCTTACACATTAAAGTTTATAAATATGCCACAAAGTATGTTTCAATATAAAAGGACAAGTATAGGTCTACGCTATAAAAGAATGCAAAATTATGCTTTTACAAGTACGCGATAAAAATATGCAAGTACATTATAAGATATTATTTTAGTTCTTTGTACCCATGAGTAAGAAAGAGAAGCATGATGAACTATAGTATCGAGCTATTCAAGTGTAAAGTATTATGTTGTATTGATTTTAGAAACTTGCAACATGTTGTCAAGAATTTGTATTCTTTAGTCAAGTTTGTCATTGATCTTTACCAGTCTTTAGTTCCACGTCACCAAGACAATGGAAACATTTCTACCACCTCATTACCCCGTCTGTATAAATATTGATTGAAAATTTGCCACGTGAATACCAATATAATATTATTTGTGGTTTATGCTAATATATTTTTAAGATAAATTTATTTAGCATTTTCCTCTTGAAAAATAATAGAAAACCTTCTTTACGAATTTGAATCTTTTGGATATTCTTTATTTCAGTGATATGAATATATTGGAATTGGTTTATAAGTCTAACCATGCATGTGAAATCGCCAACATTCATTAAGTTTGGTAGTAGTGACGTCATAGTGATTCTCGTATAATCAAAATTGTCTACAGTATAAAGCTTTATGTAACACTCTCTCAAATTGCTTAAATTTGAGTATCTTAATGCCTAACTTCTTCTAAAGAAAACTAAAAAATTCTATTAAAAAATCAAATTAACTTACTCCTTTGTTGCCTCTTTTGAAACCTTTACATATTCCAGCGAAGTTAAGAGCTGTCATGGGAACTGAATCGCCGAATAAACCAATAGTGAAGGTACCTCTGAAGTCTTCTCCTTCGCCATCGAAATTTTTAACTTCGATACTGACAGTTGCTTCTTGAGTAACGGTGAAGTTTCCGCAATTTCCTACAGCAAGTACTGAGGCAACGGCAGCGAGGAATAAAAAAGCCATTCTGAAATTTGAAAAGATTGAAATGATTATCAATCGTGAAAATCTAACTCATTAACACTTTATATTACGTTTTAAATTTTAAAAAGTTTAAAATTTCAGAAACAACGTAAAAATAAATTTTACACTAAAGGCAATGTTCATGCATGTAAAAAAAATGTAAAAAATCTTAAAGATTCGAAATTCTACCAAATATTTCATTCGAAGGAAGAAGTAAAGAAAAAGTTCACTTACTTTGATGTGTCTAGGTAAAAAGCCAAATTGAAATGAATGATTTGCTGAGAGAACTGGGGAACTTTTAAAGAAAATTCAATGCCACGACGTCGTGTAATTGGGAGCCAATGAGCGGCATCTCAACTGGCGAAAATCGACAAATAAGCGTAATCGACCCAAGGTAAATCCACGTATTTTTACAGTCTTTTCATGGTGCTAGTATTGGGGATTGGGTTAATATGTTTTTAAGTTAAAGAGAGATGACATGTTAAATTACAACGTGGCTGTATTGTTAAATACTATAGCTGAACATCTGTAATACTATTTCATTGTCATTAGTCAAATTTAATTGCTTTGTCATGGAATAATGCATTCCTTTACATCTTTCATTCTTAATCCTTAAAATTTTCATATTGTATTAACCTGTTTCACAGCTTTCATCTCACGGTAAAACGTGTAATATTTCATGCACGGGATAGCCTTGTTAGATACTGCGCTGTTTCGTTTCCAAGCATTTTGGAACCACGATGATATTCGAAAATGCCTAAAAAGGAGGCCTTTCCCTAATGAGAGACAAAGAGTATCGAAATTTATCTAAAATAAGAAATGGTTTGTACTCTCACTTTATTTCTAACAAACTTAGAGTACGATTTCTACACAAAATTACCCCAAATATGAGTCATTTTTCCAATTTTTCTGTGGGGACAACTCTCTCAGATGCTTCATGGGAGGTTTGAGCCTATGCGCTTCCCCATTGGAGGAGGGAAAGGGGGGGGGGGGGGGGGTCGATGTCTTTTTGTGGAAAATGAATAAAGCCTCCTTACATAAAACATGATATACACTTGTAAATTGAACAACGTAAAAACATGTTGAATAAAAGATCAATTAGGATTGAGCAAGTGCAATAAATTCCAACTGAATAAGAATATCTTAGTGTTTGTAAGACAATCGAATTTAGAATTTAGACCCATACAAATACTATATATTTTTATATATATATCATCATACTTTTTGTATTGAGATACTTTTCCATATTTGGATGATCTGTAGGTCTGTCTAATACTAATATAGAAACGGTAGTTTCATTTCTTTGACATTTCACATTGCCTCATGTATTTAATGGGACAGAAGCGTCACTTTTTTTTACCTATCTGAAACGGGATTTTTTTGTAGCTAATCCAATCAGTAATAGTATTCAAAGCTCACCATCGAAATTGGAGACTTCAAATCCATGTGTGTCCAGAATTAACCGCATTTGAAAAATAAAAAGACGAGTCGTCTTTTCTTGAGACACTGCCATATATAGAAAAGACAACTATACGGAATTTCTAGTTTGAGATATTTTTAAAAGGAATTTTTCCGATTTTCGTACATTTCTAGTAGCCTACTTCTGAAGACTTCTGAATATATTTAAGACTCAAATCAACTCCCCAAAATAGGACATATGTCCCTTCCCTTTAACTACAGTAACTGTTGACGTAAACAATAATTTACAGATTCTGTGTGGGCTTAATGAATAAATACGGTATCTATAAATCAAGAATACATATCAATTTGGATTTTTAGAAATATGGAATATGGATTCGGATGATTAGATACTCTCAAGTTTTGTTCACACCGATAAATGTTTTGAAAATACTTTCATATTTGATGCAATATGTGTAAGGTCTTTGATATTCAAAAGAGTGGAAGAACTTTTCCACGTTTACTATTCCACGTGAAATGAATAGTAAAATCTGTATTGATTGTCGATCATCTTGTAGTGGACAATATAATAGATATTATTTCATCATTTATTCAAGATGTTGTCCAAGCTTTAATCAAACTATTCTATTGTCCAGTTTTACACATCATCATGTTCAAAAAAACACACTCATTAATCTTAAAGGGATGTTATCTAAATATTTGATAAGGAAGTTTAGAGTCAAAACTACCCCTATCGGTGTATATCGGACGCCAAGTTTCCATCCAATTAAAACAAAACACACTGTAGAAGCTTAGATAGAAAGCCACTTCCAGATCATTATTAATTACAATAATATAGTAATAACTTTATCCGATGATGAAGAGTAGGAAATACCCACACAGGGGATACAGGGGATGGAGTGGGGTGTGTGTGTTGGTGGAGGGGAAAGGGGGTGGGGGCATTAGGTAAATGGATTGTACCCCTAGTGGTGCAGAAAAGTAGAGCCTTAAACACTCCATTCACTTCAAGTCAGAGTATTTTTGTCTGTAACAATAAAACAAGCATGATTTCTTTTTTTTTCACATTCATTTATTTCAAATTAAATAACAACATTGCTCTTGGCAGTTTTACAAAATATAATTTAACACACAATTTGACATGACTTATAAAACTTCAAATGTTGATGTAACAATTTTTAAGTTAAAGTGTGGATGTCCATTGTCCAAAAGTTTCCAATATAATTTCCTATATGATTCATTGTATAACAGCTTAATTTAGGACACACACACTTTAAGAAGAAATTGTAGACATATTTATGTTAATACTGACAGATATGTCTAGACACATTTAGAAACTAATATTGTTAATAAACACTATCACAGCTAAAACCAACAGCTAACACATTTCTTAATTGATGGTATAGAGGAATTTCAGGCAAATTGAACAAATTTTATTAAGGATTTTGCATTCTACAAATAATATTATAGCACAAAGTCTTGGCAGAGCACAAAATAAATACCCTTCTCTCAAGACATTATTTTTGCAAATAAACAGTGAAAGTGTCCCTTTTCATGTATGAACATTTGAAAAAATTTTATAGTTTAATATTGCACTTGCTCTTTTCATAAAATAAATAAATTATATAAAGTAAATAAATTTGGAAGAGATATGTCATTTGGATTCCTCTAGTGTCTCCAGATTCAAATGTAACCCCTACGCCTGCAGATCAATATTACTGTCAATACAGACTTGTTGCTCTTTAGTTTTCCTAAAAATATTAAATTGGCCAATTACTTTGGAGAGAAACTGAGTGGTTATTACAAATTGGGATTCCAACATAATTACTTTCATGCAGTACTGTATTTGATTCTACTGGCATTGGTTGAAGTTTAACTTATTACCCAGCTCCAGTAGAACTGGGCAAAAGCCTTGATCAATTAAAACTCAGTGACAGGAATATCTACCTGCAGGCTCAAGGGCTAGATGACTAACCCTTGAAGATTTAAGTTGGGCTATGATATGAGTCTTAAAGTCTGTCAACATGTTTTTATAGATCAATAAAGATGATCAATGATTAAATCCTATCTTATAACCTGGTCACAGCTTGTTATATCAATATAATAATTGAAGATATTATCATTCCTTAAGAAGATTAAAGATCAATCTGTTAGCTATCTGTCATTAAAATGCCAGTGCTGTAAAATACAAGTTTTCTTAACAAAATGGTAAATGGAAACAACACATCTAGGGATGGCTTAAAGTGAGAATAGACAAAGTATGGTGTCTGGTATAGTGTACAGTGTGTGATAATCTACAATGTAGAAAATAGTAGAAGCCCATCATGTACGCACCAGTACCTTGTATGTTGGTTCTTGTATTTCCAACTGTATTGATTATTTCGCACCCTACACCACACCTCGTCTATTCGTGGCTTATGGCAGTCTAAATCATACTCATATCTATGATCTGGAGTAAACTTGTGTCCAGAATGACCAACTAAAATAAACTGTTTTTTACCATCTCAGGATGTACATTATTTTTTGATATTCAATAATTGAGGAGCATAGACTGGCAGTTCTCAGCATTTAACTGAACTTTCCCTACATTTGCCATTGAATTCTTCTTTTTCAAACATTTCAGTATTTCAAAGAATTTTCACCATCATGTTTCCACAAATGTTTGAAATTACCCACAATAACCAGTCCACAGTAGTCCTGTGTGTTTTTCTGTGATATATTTTGACTATTATGTTTTTCATAGTATTAAACATATAATATTCAAATATAATACATGCACATAAAGAAATAATTATAAAAAATGTGGATTTCATAAAATAAATAAAATGATTATATTGTCATGTATAAAAGAGAAATGATGTATAAAATTAAAGCAGGCAAGATGATATATATAAATATATTCAAAGATAAAATATTGCACAAAATGAAATGGATTTTATAAAAACTAAATAGACAAATAAATATTTGATCAACATTTTTTGAATCTATGCAAAGAAAATTAATGATGGAATTGTCAAAGGGATTGCTACTAAAAATACTGTACTAAGCTCATTGGTTGCTGGCATCCTACATCTAACCTAGTCAGTAGCATTGAAATTTATAAGTAATGCAGCATGGTTGATAACATAATACACATAAACTTGGTTGTTAACAGTTTACACATGGAACTTGGTTTTTAACATTATGCACATGAAACTTGGTTGTAAACATAATGCACATGAATGTGGTTGTAAACATTTTACACATGGAACTTGGTTGTTAACATTATGCACATGAAACTGGGTAGTTAACATTGTGCACATGAAACTTGGTTGTTAAAATTTTACAGGTAAATTGAATGTTTGTAATGTAAATGTTATAACCATTGAATGATAAAGTCTGATATAAAAACTTTCTGTTAAGCTTTGAAATATAATATTTTTTACTTAGAAAAGTTTACATAAAAACCATCAATTATCAAACAGACTGGA